CTTCCTGCTTTCTTTGGCCGTGAGTCATGTGGTTGTCAGAGGAATAAACATGGCGTGTTTATTCTTCTGCTGAACTCCCTGTTTTTCTGTTACTGTAGGAAGGAGGCTGTGTGCAGTTAGCTGGGGACCCTTTGAGCAGAATGGTGTGAATTTGAGTGGAGGTGAGGGGCCTGTGCTTCTTGTCCTTGGAATCCGCCGCCCATTCCCTGAAAGTCTTGTCCAAACACATGGATTCAGAAGACAGGTCATTTTATTTGGGGGCACACATGGCACATGGGGGTGATTTTGCATGCAGACACATCACAGGGATGATGCTGTTACTTCTTCCCAAAGCGCTGAGGGGCAGCCAGGCTCCAGAACTCTCTAGCCCGGGGACTTAGCTGCTCTTTGCTCCAGGACCCCCAGGTATTTCTGCCAAACCTTTGGAGAGATTCATCCTCAGTTGAAGTTCCATCTACCTTAGCTTCCTTCACCTCGTACTCAGCCCTCCACCTTCCCAGCCTCTGTCTGCTGAAACTCACCTCTGAGGATGAAACAGGAAGGCTGGGCTTCTGCCAGGTCTCTCCATGGCCTGCAGCAGAAAACGCAAGAGGGTCCCAGGAGTCTGGGCATACTGTGGTGGGTGGGGTCCCCCATCTTCTTCCTGTGATGAGAAGGTGACAGGGAAAAAGGCAGTGTCCTCCTGGACATTGAAGACATGGGGGAAAAGACTAACTAGGAGCAACTTGTATGGGCTCAGGAGCCATTTTCCTTAGAAGCCAAGGCTTTATGAAGACCTTAGCAAGCCGGGCAATGGTGGTGCACGCCTTTAATCTGGAGGCAGAGGCAGGCGGATCTCTGTGAGTTCGAGGCCAGCCTGGTCTACAGAGCTAGTTCCAGGACAGGCTCCAAAGCCACAGAGAAACCCTGTCTCGAAAAACCAAAAAAAAAAAAAAAAAAAAAAAAAGACCTTAGCAGCCAGGGAACATCAAAGCCTATATCACAAGTTTCAGCGGACGGGATAGTGCGGGGAAGGGCGCTCACTCACTGCAAAGACCTGGTCTCCATCCCGGCTCCCTGGTTCTTCAGAAAGACCCGAGTCCAGCAGCAGCAGCAGCAGCAATAGCAGCACAGCAACCTGCTTGGAATCCATGCTGCCATCCACCTCCCCACTGGCACACCATCCTCTTATACCTGCTGTCCCACCCCCACCTCAGCAGCAGCCTGAGGGAAATCTAGACAGGCAACAGAAATGCATGGCTCTATTAAGAGCCACCTGGGACCTCCTCTCATATCCTCCTGGGGACTTTCTGCTCTCAGCTTCCTACCCCCGGCCTAAGCCTGGAGTTACAGACTTTATTAGATGCATAAATCCTGTCTCCAGAGCTCAGGAAGCATCATTAATTGCAGACGGTTTGTCAGAGCTAGGCCCTGGGGGAGCCTTATAAGAACCCCCAATTCTTCAACAGGTTGGAGAGCTTCAATTGATCAACTCTGGACTGAAGAAACTCCTGTCAGGATTGTTATTTCCTGGATGGGAAGGAACTAGGGTTGGTTACTAGTAGGCTAGGGTGACCCACCTTGGTCCCTCCCCATGCTTGAGATGGGCAGTCAGGACTGCAGCCCATTCCTATCCCCGCTACTTCTGATGAGGTTAAACATGGAGTCCCTACTCTTATGACTTACCTATGGACAATAAGGTGAGTGACAGGTGGGCTTTGGGGTCTTAATGAGTAGCGGTGGCTTGTAAATTTTGTGGATGGACCGGGCCCATCTTTGCTAGAGAACTGGGGAATGGAACTCCACAGCCGAAGCTCTACTGCCACCGTGTGGCCACTACTCTGCTATCAGGTACAACCATTGCCTTTTCCAGGCCTGTCTGGGAAGATTTAAGGACAGGGTTTTTTGGGGTGGGGGGTGGGGGATCAGCCTCTGCCTGGTGCTGGGTTCTAAAATACTACTGGAACTGGCGACCAGGGTCCTGCTTCAGGGAAAGACAGAATCACTCTAGGCCAGGGGAGGACCGTATCTGCCGTGCAGGTGCCAGTGGGCCATGTCTCTAACCTAAACTCAAGAAGGACCATGTCAGGGTTCTGACTTAGCCCTCAGCAAAGCAAGCTACTGACATTCTCAGCTTCCCTTTCCTTACATACAGGAACAATAAAATGGATTACTTCCTAGGAGAAGCATTATTTGGCTTTTGTAGCAAAGCACAGAGCTGATATTTTTTTTTTAAAGAGAAGTTTTCTTTTTTTTTTTTTTTTAAAGATTTTATTTATTTATTATGTATAGAAAGTCTGCCTCCATGTATGCCTGCAGGCCAGAGGGCGCCAGATCTCATTACAGATGGTTGTGAGCCATCATGTGGTTGCTGGGAATTGAACTTGGGTCCTCTGGAAGAACAGTCAGTGCTCTTAAAGGCTGAGCCATCTCTCCAGCCCAGAGCTGATATTTTTAAAATGTCAACTGTGATTACCTTTGCTTTCCTCCCCCACGCCAGTCCTGGGAATCTTACCATCTCCAGAGGCTTTCTTTGGACACACTTCTCCCTGTGCTGCGCTGGCTTTCACCTCTTGATGGCTCCTTCAGAGGTCTTAGTTTGTTCCATGGCGTCTCAGCATTTCTCATCTCACATGTAAAAGCCCTTTACGCATTCCATTCAGCCTGGTTATTTTATTTTAATTCATTTTTTTTTCTGAAGGGGATAGTACTTTATTGTAACCTACTTACATTTAGGTTTGTGGATAAGAGTTTTGTTGGTTTTGTTTGCTTGTTTTTTTTTTGGGAGAAGGTTTCTCTATGTGACAGTCCTGGGTGTCCTGGAGGAACTCACTCTGTAGACCAGGCTGGCCTCAAACTCAGAGATCCTGCCTCTGCCTCCTGAGTGCTGGGATTAAAGGTGTGTGCATCACCATCCTCAGCTTGCTTGTGATTTTCTAAGATTGGACTCTATGTAGTCCCGAGTATGCTGGCCTCTGTTCTCAGCCTCCCAAGTGCTGGGTTACACATGTGCACCACCAACACCCACCTGGCAGGAGTTCAGGTTTTCTGTTTGTTTACAGGGTCTCACTAGTAGCCCTGGCTGTCTTGGAACTCACTAGGTAGAACAAGCTGGCCTTGAATTTTCAGAGATCCCCTGAGGCTGTTGTGGGTGGTAAACCGAGTGAGTGCAGGGCAATACTACCGGACCAGAGACAGAACAGGCACTCTGCCCACCACACTCAAGTGCCAGGGTCTGGGCTGAAGTTAGCTGGTTTCTCCCTATGGAGCAGGCACCTCCACCACAGTATAAATTAATCCAGCTAACCTGTTACACGATCTTGCCTTTGGATTCCCAACTCCCAGACTTGTCTGTCTGTCTGTCTGCCTATCTACAGGGTCTCAGCAGGGTAGTAGTGGCGCACGCCTTCAGTCTCAGCACTGGGGAGGCAGAGTCAGGCGGATCTCTGAGTTTGAGGCCAGCCTGATCTACACAGAAACCCTGTCTGGAAAAACCAACCAACAATCGAACAAATAAACAAACATAGGGTCTCACTTTGTAGTTCTGGCCTGGAACTCAATCTGTAGACCAGACTGGCCTATGGCCTTTTTTTTTTTTTTTGGTTTTTCTAGACAGGGTTTCTCTGTAGCTTTGGAGCCTGTCCTGGAACTAGCTCTTGTAGACCAGGCTGTCCTTGAACTCACAGAGATCCGCCTGCCTCTGCCTTCCGAGTGAGTGCTGGGATTAAAGGCATGTACCACCATCGCCCGGCTATTGCCCTTTTCAAAAACTTATTTTATCTTTAGTTGTGTGGATGTCTGTCCTCATGTATGTGAGCGCAGGTACCTGGGAGGCCAGTTCAGAATCAGATCTCTGGAGTTGGAGTTGCAGACAGTTGTGAGCCTGAGCCCTTACATGTGAGCAGCATCTCCAGCCCATCTCCCAAATGTCCTTTCTTCTTGCGCCCCTACATGCTCCTGCCCCCTTTTTCCTTTTATTTATTTACCTGGGGATGGTGAGACACGCCTCACAGAGAGCACCTTACCGTTGTCAGCTCAGGTCTCTAAGCTTGGCAGTAAGGATTTCACTGCTGAGCCATCTTGCCAGCCCTACACAGTGAGAGCCAACAATAGTGCTTCCACGTTCCAAAGGGGGCTCCAAGTCTTTCACGAATCTGTCAAGTTCTTCAGTCTCATCGCTGTTCTCACTTTCAGTGGTAATTATAAAGGAGTGCAGACCCTTGAGCAGGACCTGCTTTCCTGTGAGCGTTCATCTGCTTCTAAACAAGGTCTGCCTGCTGTTTCCAGGCTTCTTTCTCTTTTTCATTTTTTTCTTTTCTTTTTGATTATGTGTGTGTGTGTGCGCGCGCGCGCACGCGTGTGTGTGTGTGTGTGCGCGTGTGTGCGTGCACACGTGTGTGTGTGTGTGTGTGTGTGTGTGTTGGGAAGGGCATTGTGCAGGTGGGTGCAGTGCTTGTGGAGGCCAGAAGAGGGCACCAGAGCCCCTGGAGCTGGAGTTGTGTCTGTGAGCCACCTCTCCAGCCCCTTCTCCCCTCTATAAGAAAGCTTGACTTTGTCTATCTCTATGAACATTCCCCAGTCTCTTTTGAAATAGGGTTTCTCTGTAGTTCTGGAGCCTGTTCTGGAACTAGCTTTTGTAGACCAGGCTGGCCTCGAATTCACAGAGATCCACCTGTCTGCCTCCCGAGTGCTGGGATTAAAGGTGTGTGCTATCACCGCCCAGCTCTTTTCTTCCTTTCGATTGCTGGAAGAGGCTGAGGACAAAACACTGAAAGAGCAGAGGCTCTTGTTCTTAAGGCAATCCCATTTCCCATTTACATGAAGCACACACTAAGTTCTCCAGTCAGGATTCTGGTGATGAACACCATGTTACTTACATAAAGCAGAAATGAGAACTCTGCTCTTTCTGCCCTAAGAAACTGAAGGGAGAGGATAATCAGACATGAAAGCCCCGTGAGTCTGCAGGAGCGGGCAGCGGGCCTCATGGGCTTGAGCAGGAAGCACCAAACACACCATTGATTCTCTCGATAGTTTAATGTTGTATTTGCAGCATAAATAAGGCACAGTATATGTCAGGGCGAAGGACGGAGGGAGAAGGCAAGACTGGGTGATAACTACTACATGGCTTGGGGGAAGTAGGACGGGACGGTTAGGGAGGTGAGCTCAAAGCCCCTGCCTCAGCCCCGCCCCAGGAGATTGTGAGAGCCTGCTCACAGGGGTCATGCTGAACTGGGTGGAAGGAAAGGAGAAAAGACAGTTTTGTAACAAAACAGCCCGTAGCACTGGACCCTCCCACCTGTGACGCCTACCAGTGGAGCTTGGGGACCCGGACTGGGTTGAGCTCCTTCAGGATGGACAGGTATTGCTACATGTCAAAAATATATAGGTGAACAGAGATATATTCATAGATACACATTTCTCTCTTCTCAAGAGATACTCTATCAGGATGTAGCACGCTCCACTGTGGGATGGAGGCTAATATCCCTGCCTGCAAGAGGTGTGTGTGTGTGTGTGTGTGTGTGTGAGAGAGAGAGAGAGAGAGAGAGAGAGAGAGAGAGAGAGAGAGAGAGAGAAATTGGACAACTATGGCTCCTGCTGATTTTGTTGTCTATTTATTTTGAGACAGAGTCTCTCTGTGTACTCTGGTTGGCTTTGAACTCTCTATGTAGACCAGGTTGGCCCTGAACTCAAAAATCTGCCTGCCTCTGCCCCCCAAGTGCTGGGATCAAAGGTTGCACCACTCCTGGCTTTCCTGCTGGCTCTTAATGTAACCGAAAATGCAGAGCGAGAAGCCTGCAAGGAAATATGGGTAAGTCCTGCCAGGAACAATGTAGGAAAAGGTTTTAGAGCTAAGACTAGAAGAAAGAAAGCCTAGAACTGGGCTGAGTGATACGGTGGTGGCTATTTTAATGGGAGTGGAAGGGGGACTGAGGGGAAATGAAAAGTCAATGCTAAGGCAGAGGACACATTTAAAGTAATCCTTGTCCCAAGGGACTCATGCATTAGTGTGTACTAGAAGCACAGAGTGCTCAGCTCAGGAGGCGGGGATGGCCAAGATTGCGCATTTCTAGCAAGCTTCAGATGATGGTGCTGCTGACACTGCCCTAAGGTAAAGCCAGTGAAACTAGAGCTCACAGCCATTTAACAACTACAACCTTACTCACCAGTAGTTGGGGTATAGCTCACATTAAAAAACAAAAGAAAAAGCAAAGAAAACACCTGTTTAGCTAAAACAGAAGCTTGTACCTACAAGGACACAACCTGCCCTGTTCTCACCAGCCTTGTTCATTCTGGGGTAGGATTTACCTCAAAGTGACAGTGAGAGGGTGGAGATGTTGGCCAGCAGCACTGTGCTCATTCCTGTGGGGTCACTACTCCGGCCAGAGTAGGAGGATTTGTCTGTGCACATTCATGTGTACAGAGACAAACAGACTGTTTTAACAATGTCTAGATGGACTTTAGAGGGCTGGGGTCTTCAGCAGGCCTTAGGTTCCTCACACCTCTCACTCTGGACAGACATAGCTAAAGAAAGGAGGAAGAGCACACAGCAGGAAGACCAGAGTGTAAACAGACTGACTATAATGTATTTCTTTTTTTGTGGACATAAGAGATAATATTAATGGAAATGTGATCTGGGGATGGGAAGAAAGCTATGAAAGGGACAAACTGGGGAGAGTAATCTCAGGAGTTAGCACCTTTAAGGAGCCTATCTCAGAAGCCAGAGGAAAACTCTTGTGTGCACGTGTCTTTCAGTCACTCAGTCTCTCAGGATGACGGTGCTGGAGGGCAAGCCGCTGAGGAGATGGAAGTGAACCAAGAAAGGGAGTCAAGAGCTACAGATTGGGAGAGGGAAGAAGGTGGCAAGGCGAGGTTCACCAGCCCAGCTCCCTGTAGTATGTGGTCTGGGGCTTACAGCCTTGGACAGGAGGAGAGGAAGGAGCCGTGTCCTTTCTAGTTCTCCTTGGGTGCCTTCCCAGCTCTGAACAAGCTTTATCATGTAGGAGTGGGGTCGCAAGGGCACAGGGCAGGGCTGTGGTCGCTCAGAAGAGTCCTCAGATACCACATTCTCAGCTCCCTCCTGATAGGTTCTTTGTTTTTTTTTTTTTTTTTCGAGACAGGGTTTCTCCACAGCTTTTGGTTCCTGTCCTGGAACTAGCTCTTGAAGACCAGGCTGGCCTCGAACTCACAGAGATCCGCCTGCCTCTGCCTCCCGAGTGCTGGGATTAAAGGCGTGCACCACCACCGCCCGGCCTCCTGATAGGTTCTTAAGAAGGGCTCGGTGGACTTATGCAAAACAATGGAGTTGGAAAAGGATGAGTTAAAATTGGAGGATATATCCATCTCAACTGATGCATTAAACACCACAGAGAAACACAAATATTATGAGACAACAACCCACCAGGACATACTCCAAACCTTTCTTAATGGAAACTCAAAGTCCTGAGATGGCTGAAATGTTGGAGAAAGGATTTAGAGTTTCATTCTTAAAAAGGATGAATGACTGTATAGAAGTCTCAAATACACATGAATGAACTAAGGAATTGTATACAAAACCTCCAAAGTGAACAAGATAGTGGGTAAGCTGGAGGAGAAAGTCAGAAACATGGAGGGAAATTTTAGTGAGGGCATTCAAACATGGAAAAGGAACCACACAGAAACCAACGTGAAACAATCAACTGAAAAACCTAGCCAGAAAGCATCACCAAGCGATAAGATCAAAGAGTTTGGGAATGCAGGACAGAGTTGGGACAACAATATACTCAGACAGACTCACACACATGCATGCACATATGTTTATAAAATTAACATGAGCAGCATTTTCAGAAAGCTTGGGATATATTCAGAAGATCAAACAAACCTCAGAACCCATGGGGTAGAAGGAGGAGGACCTGAGATAAATTCAAAAGGATCAGTCAAATTATTTAATGAAATTATAGCACAAAATATCCTAAACCTAAAGATAGAAATTGATATCCAAATACAAGAAGCATACAGAACGCCAAAGACTCTTCTATGACACATCATAGGATGTCAAGAAGGGTGTATGAAGCCGGGCAGTGGTGGCACACGCCTTTAATCCCGGCACTCGGGAGGCAGAGGCAGGCGGATCTCTGTGAGTTCGAGACCAGCCTGGTCTACAAGAGCTAGTTCCAGGACAGGCTCCAAAACCACAGAGAAACCCTGTCTCAAAAAAAAAAAAAAAAAAAAAAAGAAGGGTGTATGATAGCTGTATGACAGCTGGTTCTGGTTCAGGTAAGTCTGGAAGGCAAAGGTCAAGGCAGTGACCACTGGCAGCAATCCTGTAGGTGACAACCCCTTGACTATAAGAGAAGCTTCACTGTAAGCTGTTGCTCTGCTTTCTTAGAGAACCAACTATAGAGGTATCTGGGGTTGTCCTGCCCCTAAGTTCAGTGCTGCTTCCCTACTGCAGTTCTGTGGGGCCCTGCATCATTCAGGGCCTAACGCTGACTTCCTGCTATGGAAACAAAGACTTGAGAGTCCGTATAGACTAGATATCCACACAGGGGCAGACTAGACTGGCAGGGTATGGATGAAGTGGCACCGGTTCATAACTTTTAAAACCCTGACTGAGCCAGGCTGTGGTGGCGCACGCCTTTAATCCCAGCATTTGGGAGGCAGAGACAGATGGATCTTTGTGAGTTTGAGGCCAGCCTGGTCTACAAGAGCTAGTAGGACAGGCACCAAAGTTACAGAGAAACCCTGTTTTGAAAAACCAAAAGAAAAAAAAATTCCTTGATTAATGGGGTAAGAAAAACAGCCAAGTCTATGAAGCCTATGAAGGCTCCTTGGGAGCCATAAACTCAGACATGCTTTAGTGCAAGGCCGCTAGTGGGAAGACAGAAAAAAAAAAAGATGCTTGGCAGTGGTGGCACACGCCTTTAATCCCACCACTCAGAAGGCAGAGGCAGGCGGATCTCTGTGAGTTCCAGGCCAGCCTGATCTACAGAGCGAGTTCCAGGACAGCCAGGGCGACACAGAGAAACCCTATCTTGAAAAAACAAAAACAAAAAAGCAGCCATCTAAAGAAGTCCTGAACACAAACACAGCTCTGAGTTTCTAAAGCCAGGTGAAATCCCTGGAGACAATACCCTGCCCCTGACCATCTGGTGGCCTTTGCTAGCCTTGTCACCTCAGGGGCTGTTCCTGTTGAGTCCCTGGTGGTAGAGGATGAGAAAGCCATCTCCTGTTTTGTTTTTCCCCCACTGGGTGTGGCTTGTTCAGCACTGACGCTAAAGAGGAGGAGGGAAAACTTAGATACAATGCAGCAGAACATGTTACAGGATGGGCTCACTAATCTAAACTCTGAGGAAATAATCATATAAAGTAGAACATTTTCTCTTTCCTCCATGACAATAAATTTTGGGAGCTAAAATAAAAAAGGAAGCAAGCAGGTATTCTGTACATTTAAGATGGAGGCAGCAAAGAAGACTCTTGGTGGAGCAGATGGCAGAAGGTGGCTCTGGTACAGCCGGGAGGGTTTTCTACTCAAAAGCTATTAAAGCTGACCTATCTATCCACAGGGCTCTGGCTCTGAAAGAGACTGCACAGTTCAGAGCCAAGGAAAGAGGAGAAAGAGGAGGGTGCATTTCTCTCCCTGGAGCCCACCAAATAACGGTAGCCAATAGCCACACTCCCCAATCTCCCAGACAGACAGTCCGTGTCCTGAGCACTCTGCTGAGATGACACACTTTCCTGTTCTCTCTACACTCACTCTTACACTCAAAAGCCACTCAGGACCTTGGCCACAATGTTTCAGAGCCCTGGAGCCTGTGCCTCGGACAAGCACTACATTTGAGGGGCAGAGAACAAAAAACCAAGTTCAAAGAAATTTTATTACTAGAGACACCTAGTGGCTAGGCCAGGACCCTGCTGAGAGAGAAGGTGGGGAAGACAAGGGTGATGGACACTGGTGGACACAAGCCATATCGTAGAAAAGAAGGGAAACTGAGAGCTGTGGGGGAAACAAGGAACAGAGAGCGAAAGCAGCTCCTGTCTGATGACCTGCAGAAGGCTGATTGAAAGGAGTGATGTGGGCAGGGGAACAAAGAGGAGAGGAAAGGGCCCACAGATGACCAAAGATGACAATATGCAGATGTTAGACAGTAAGCTATTATAAAACATAAAAGAATTTGTTAATCCAGTAACCTGATGGAACAAGTTTTAAGTTACACTGTTCCTGTCTGCCCTGATTAGAACGGGAAGGTAGGAAAGGAGACAGGGAAGCCCGTTAGATCCCAGGCTCTCTCCCTTTTCATTGCCACTAACAATAAGGCCACAAGATGAGGTTCCCAAGGCATGGTGGGGAAGTAGGAAAAACCCCACCATTCGACCAAGGAAAGTCAAGAGACAAAATGAGGTACCCAATAGGTTTGGAAATGAAAAATGATTCAAACATTCAGAGTTTTGCTTTTTTTTGTTTGTGTTTGTTTTTGGTAGCAGATAGGAATAAGGAATAGAGCACATGGAAGAGGTGGAGATACTGGTGCTTCATACATTCTCAATAAGTGAATGCTTCACTGCAATTTAGGAAGGGGGAAGAGATAAATAAGCAGCTATGGGGAGACAAAGTCCTGAGTGCATGGGTGCTGGGGTTGGACAGCAAGCAACACGCCATCGAATCTCGTCTCCCTCTATCTGGCAGAAAGTGGCATGCTAGTAAGGAATAAGAAGTTAACAGCCACAGCTCAATGGGAGGAGAGGACACTGAGAACCCCAAACCTACAAGTGCAAGGGTTAGTGTTAAAAGACAGGTACACATGCATCAGGGCTGGGGATGATTGCTCGGACCATGTGGAAAGGCCTTTGGCTGTAGGTACATAAGAAACCCCACCCTTGGGGGATGATCTGTGTGGCTTTGGGGCCAGAAGCCCTAGTACAGGTGTCAAGCGTACATGTTCATGTGGCTAAAGAGAAAAGCCCCACATCTGTCCATACTCACAACACACAATTTCTCCCTCTCCCATACTGCCACATCTAAGGCAGATGGGAGGGGTAAGTTGATCTCTCTCTTGGGCTCAGGCGGGCGAGCTCTGGCTGGGGATTTCTCCATCATGGGAGGCATCATCTGCCCGCAGACTGTGACTGTGGAGTCATGATCACATGTGACTGTACGGGCATGCTCAGTTCTGTCCTTTGGCTGGCCATCTGAGTGAGGACCGAGGTGGCCACAGCTTCAGCTGCAGATCGAACACTAAGGCCATTGCTAGGGGCTGTTGCAGAACTGTGCTGAATCACTGGGGCTGGAGAACCCGTTGGCTCTGAGCTTTCCTTGGGACTCTCTGCCAAGAAGGAGGGCAAACAGTGGAGAGCAAGTGGTCAGAAATCAGGACAGAGGAACACAGAGCATAATTACAAAGAATACAAAGGAAAATGAATCTCATATTTCTTTTTGGAGAAGACTCTCCAGAATCCTGATCTCAAGCATGAAATGACCTAGAGAACAAAAGATACAAGAAGCAAGAACTGGGGGCTGGAGAGATGGCTCAGTGGTTAAGAGCACTGACTGCTCTTCCAGAGGTCCTGAGTTCAATTCCCAGCAACCACATGGTGGCTCACAACCATCTGAAATGAGATCTGGTGCCCTCTTCTGGCCTTCAGGCAGACAAACAAGACAGAATATTGTATACATAATAAATAAATAAATAAATAAATATTAAAAAAAAAGAAGCAAGAACTGAGCCAAAGCTGGGCACAGCATCACATTTAAAGCTCTGGGATGAAGGCAGCTCTTGTATTTTCACTCCTAGGTGGGCAAAAGCTCTTTTATAAAGCCTGTCCTTATCTAGTACCAAAGTGAAAGCCACTTGTTTCCTAAAAAAAAAAAAAAAAAAAAAAAAAAAACTTTAAAATTGTATTTATTGAGTTATACATTCTTCTCTGCTCCCCTCCCTTTCTCCCTCTCCCCTTTCACCCTCTCCTGTGATCCTCATGTCCCCAATTTACTCAGGAGAGCTTGTCTTTTTCTCCTTCCTATGTAGATTTATGTATGTCTTTCTTAGGGTCCTCTTTGTTGTCTTGGTTCTCTGGGGTTGTAGACTGCAGGTTGGTTTTTCTTTGTTTTATATCTACAAGCCACTTATGAGTGAGTACAGATGATATTTGTCTTTCTAGGTCTGGGTTACCTCACTCAATATGGCTTTTTCTAGATCCATTCATTTGCCTGCAAATTTTAAGATTCAAAAAACCTTTTTTAAAAAGATTTATTTATTTATTATATATACAACATTTCTTCCATGTACACCTGCACACCAGAAGGGAGCATCAGATCTCAGTACAGATGGTTGTGAGCCACCATGTGGTTGCTGGGAATCGAACTCAGGACCTCTGGAAGAGCAGTCAGTGCTCTTAACTGCTGAGCCATCTTGCCAGCCCCTCAAGAAAAACTTTTAAAGGGACGTGGGTCCACTGGCTACAGAAATCAACAAATCACTTTTTTTCCCCTTCCTGAGACAGTTTCTCTGTGTAGCCCTAGCTGTCCTGGAAATCTCTCTGTAGACCAGGCTGGCCTCAAACTAGGAGGTTCACCAGCTTCTGCCTCCCAAATCCTGGGATTAAAGGTGTGCATCACTACTGCCAGACTAACAAATCATGTTTAGTGAGGAGAAACTACAAGTATTCTGAATTATCTGAAATTATCTTTGAACTTGTTCTGTTTATAGAAGAAAATGAATCTCTCTTGCATTTCTTTTTAAGATTTTACATTATTTTGTGTATCTACATGCTCATTATAAGTATGGTCACACACATCAAAGCATGCATGTGGAGGTCTTTAGGAGTCTGTTCTCTCCTTCCACCATGTGGGTTTTTGAGATTGAACTCAGGTCAGCAGGCTAGGCATCAAATGCCTTTACCTGCATTTAATAGATTCCTTAATCTGCTGTCATTAATTCTCAAAAGAATAAAATCATTCCATTTTTTATGAGTGGTTTAAACCCTTGTGTCGAGGGCTGACTCTCAATAGATCTCAGCGAGGGAGCTGTTCTGCTACGTACGAAACCCCGACCCAGAAGCAGGTCGTCTAGGAATGGTTTAATCATTCCATTTTTTTTTTTTTAACACGGGAAGAAAGTTTATTGGGAGGCGGGGGTGGGGGGGAGAAGGAGAAAAAGAGAAAGAGACAGAGAGACAGTGACCTGCCTCCCCCTGGGAAACAGCAGGGAGCTCGGGAATCTAATCATTCCATTTTTAAAAACCATTCCTGTAGCATGTAGTTGACACTACCCCTAAGCCTGCTAAACACCAATCACAATTCAGTGATGCTGTGAGCAGCCGAGACTCAGCTAACATGTAAGCACAACATGCAGCGTCTCCTATCAATCAGCAAAGTATCTGTGTGGGCTGTACTATTCCACCAACACTGACCCTGCACACAGCATATGAGCTGCATACAGAGTACAGCAACTGATCAAGGGGTTTTATTTTTAAATGTTAGTCTTTATACCTGCCTAAACAGATATAAGAAATTGTGGAAAATTTCCAGTAAGTAAATTTTTTTTGTTTTGTTTTGTTTTTTGGTGACATTGTTTCATGTAGCCCAAGCAGGCCTCAAACTCCCTATCTTAACTCTGCTTCCCAAGAGTTCTAATTATAGCTGTGTCCCACCATGTCTGCATTTGGGGAGTCTCTGACCTCTTGATGAATGCCTGAGTCATTGTTCAAATGGATTCAAGAGAATTACAATACTGCGTCCTCTGTGAACAGTTCCTTATTACCCAGGAAACTGCGCTGTGCTTTCAGAGCACACAGTCATTCAGTCATCAGGCATTTACTGAGCATCCTTCAGTATACAGCAGAAGCTCCCAATCCAGGGCCCATATACTAGGCTATCTGTCCTTACCTCATTTACAGGTTCACAATGGCTCAATGAGTCTCTGAAAGGTAGGGACAATGCCTTATCTTATGTCAAGTACCCATATAATGTGGATGCCACAAAGTAGTAATTAAACACATCTTTGTTGTAATAAATAAGTACGTTAGTGGACTAACTACTAGTCAGAGTTTCCTCCTTAGCCCATGAACATCTGAACAGCTGACCTAGGTAGACTGCCTGTGCACCCTGATGTTTCTAGCAGAGCATCAGACTCTTCTTGTCGCACCTTCACTGTCTGCAATAAAAGCTGAAGCCCCTGTTATACCAAGACCGCTCCCCATCTCACTCCAGTGACACTGCCCATCCAGCCACACCAGCCTCTTTGTATTTGAGGCAGGGCTCACTATGCATCTCTGGCTGACCTGGAACTCCCAGTGTAGATCAGGTTGGCCTTGAACTTGCAGTAGTCTTCCCACCTTTGCCTTCTGAGTCCTGGGACTACAGGTGTGGACCACAGTGCCTGACCCTTCCTTCCCTTCTTTCTTTGTGTTTTTGAGACAAGGTTTCTCACTGTATAGCTCAGGATGGCCTTGAATTTATGATCTTCCTATCCCAGCCTCCTTGGTAGTGGGATTATATTCCTGTAGTACCATTTCCAGCTATATTATTATTGTTGTTAGTATTTTAAGATTTATGCCAGGTATAGTTGTGTTTGCTTTTAATCCCAACACTTTGGAGGCAGAGTCAGGCAGATCTCTGAGTTCAAGGCCAGCCTGGTCTAGAGAGTTCAAAGACAACTAAAGCTACACGTATGTCCATAAACCATGTATATGCTTGGTGCCTGAGACATACAAAAGAAGGCGTCAGATCAACTAGAACTGGAGTCACAAGCAGTTATGAGCTGCCACGTGAGTGTTGGAAACTGAACCCAGGTCTTCTGCAAGAGCAGTAAATGGTCTTACCCACTGAACAATCTCTCTAGTCCCCAGCTGTATTATTTTTTGTTTTTACATTTACTATATACCACATATTTCACTTATTTCTTTTAATTATCTTACCTACTAAAATACATGCTTTTCAGGACAGGGATCTAACCTAATCTGTTTGGTTCCTGTTATTCCCAGTATGTGCTTGGCGCAGAACAGGAACTCAGTCAATACCTGCTTAACAAGTCAATGCACCCTGAACTACATATTAAAATTTATTTATTTATTTGTTTGTTTGTTTGTTTTTTCGAGACAGGGTTTCTCTGTGGTTTTGGAGCCTGTCCTGGAACTAGCTCTGTAGACCAGGCTGGTCTCGAACTCACAGAGATCCGCCTGCCTCTGCCTCCCAAGTGCTGGGATTAAAGGCGTGCGCCACCACCGCCCGGCTCATATTAAAATTTAAATAAATAATTCAATAATATTCTTAAAATTTTTCTCAAAATACATTTCTGAAATGATAAAGACAACTAGTGGAAAAACTACCTGCTATATTCCAATATTTCTATGCATTTATTTAATCTGTAAAGGAAAATTAGCAGTTTTTAATTTTTATTATCCATAACGATTCATTGTGATATTACTTTCTAGTAGTGCTAAGGCTGAGCACACACTGAAACCAAGGTCATTATAAAGATGAAATCCGCCCTGCAGTCCCATTCTTCACTCCCCAGGCGCTGTCAGCGGTTCACCTTTTCTCCAGACCAGGGTGGTCTCTGGGACCAGAAGACCTCTACCACTTTCCTACCGTGTGCGACCTCTGGTACATGGTCTGAGTTTTCTTACAAGTGGAATGGCTGCTTCATGGGAGAACTGTGAAGATGGCAGGGCACTTAGATAAAACGGGCCCGAAAATATTGCTACTCCTTCTCTCCAATTATTATAGATAATTAGGATAACTTAGCACTATACTCAAAGCTTGATTTTTTTTTATTAAAATTTATTTATTATGTATACATATTCTGTCTGCGTGTATGCCTGCAGGCCAGAAGAGGGCACCAGACCTCATTACAGATGGTTGTGAGCCACCATGTGGTTGCTGGGAATTGAACTCAGGACCTTTGGAAGAGCAGGCAATGCTCTTAACCACTGAGCCATCTCTCCAGCCCGATTTTTTTTTTTTTTTGGTTTTTCAAGACAGGGTTTCTCTGTGGCTTTGGAGCCTGTCCTGGAACTAGCTCTTGTAGACCAGGCTGGTCTCAAACTCACAGAGATATGCCTGCCTCTGCCTCCTGAGTGCTGGGATTAAAGGCGTGCGCCACCACCGCCCTGAAAAGCTTGATTTTTTTATTTGTTTACTTGAAAGAAAATTTCAAGTAGCTCAGGCTTGCCTAACCCTTTGGCTATAATTGAGGACCTCGAACTGACCCTCTTGGTTGTTGGGATTATAGATAAGGAAAAAAAAACTATTTATCTATCTATCTATCTATCTATCTATCTATCTATCTATCAATCTATTTTTGGGCAGGACTGATATGCCATAAAAAATGGTGTTATAAGCAGCCAGGACACTCAATTCCTGTGGTTACCAACTGACTGGTTTGCTTAGGTTGTGAACCACTCACCTAGATAGCCTTGAGTTTTTTTCTGTAGTGCAGTGACAGGGCAGTCTTTATGAGCTAACAAAAGCTGCTTCAACTGAGCCACTTCATTTCGTAGTAATGTGACTTCATTCTGAAGTGGGAGGGAAGAAAAGAGTATTAGGAAAATTCATTTTGCCAGGCAGTAGTGGCACACACCTTTAATCTCAACACTTGGGAGGCAGAGGCAGGCAGATCTCTGTGAATTCGAGGCCAGCCTGGTCTACAAGAGCTAGTTCCAGGACAGGCACCAAAAACTACAGAGAAACCCTGTCTCAAAAATCCAAAATAAAACAAAAATTACAGCAAACATTTGTATGGACTTACTAGAATATTTTTAGTACCTATATCAAGCCATTTATTATAATATTAACTTTAGAACTGTTCTTTTTTCTTTTCTTTTTCCTGAGACAGGGTTTCTCTATGTAGCCCTGACTGTCCTTGAACTCACTGAGATCCATCCGCCTCTGCCTCCCAAGTGTTGGGATTAAAGGTGTGCACCACCATGCCTGGCTAGAACTGTTCTAATGTTGAGCACAATATTGCAAGTGAGGGCAGAGGGCAGAATACTGTCTAGATTTTCCTTGCCAAATTGGGATATGATCTGGCAAGTCTTCAGAGAGCTCAGGACAGTCATGAAGTCAATGGTAGAAACTGCCCACAGTGAAAAGGACTCCTAACAGGAAAAGCAAATGACTGTTTCCTGGGATAAATCTGGCTAGCCCCAAACTAAGAATGTAAGGTTCTCCGACCAAGAAGAAAGTGTGTCTCTGGAATCTGTCTGTGTTTGTTCTGACAATGTCTCACTTTGTAACCTTGGCTGGCCTAGAAATCTCCATGTAAACCAAAATGGTTTGGAACTCAGAGAGATCAGCCTGCTTCTGCCTCCTGAGTATGGGGATTAAAGGAATGACTCGACCTTAGAAATCTCTCTCTCTGTCTCTGACTCTCTCTGTCTCTCTCTCTCTCTCTGTCTCTCTCTCTCTCTCTGTCTCTCTCTCTCTCTCTGATTTTTTGAGACAAGCTTTCTCTGTGTAGCCCTGGCTGTCCGGGAACTCACTCTGTACACCAGGCTGGCCTTGAACTCACAGAGATCCACTTGCCTCTGTGTCCCGAGTGCTGGGATTAAAGGTGTGCCACCACCAGACTAGAAATCTCTTTAACAGAACTATTTAGTCAAGTGCATGCAATGTTTACTGGAACACTACTGTTCTTTCTAATGAACAATTATAACAGTGTTAGATAACCACTGATCATAAAACCTAACACTCTCAGAATATAATAATATGCAGCTGTTTTATAAAAACAAGGTAAATCCTTCATCTCCTTTGCTAGGATTCCATGACATACTGTTACATCATTCATATTTAAACCAATTCACAATTCCTCCAACTCTACCACAACTAGAAATAAAAAAATAACAACAACAACAACAACAACATTCAGATGCTGGGTGGTGGTGACACATGTCTTTAATCCCAGCACTTGAGAGGCAGAGGCAGGCGGAGCTCTGTAAACTTGAGGCCAGCCTGATTTGCAGAGTGAGTTCCAAGACAGCCAGGGCTACATAGAGAGACCCTGTCTTGAAAAACAGAAACAAAAACAAAAACAAAAAAACCCCACTGTATACATGTATGAAATTGTCAAAGCATAAATATAAGGTATTCTTTTTTGAACACAGTTGATTTTGTTTGTATGTGTGTGTGCACATGTGCATATTACAGTGTGTGTGTGTGTGTGTGTGTGTGTGTGAGAGAGAGAGAGAGAGAGAGAGAGAGAGAGAGAGAGAGCGAGCCAAGCAAGCAGTAGGATCTGAAAATCACATTTAAGTCATCAGACCTGGTGGCAAGGCTCTTTACCACCAAGGCGAGAGAGAGAGAGAGAGAGAGAGAGAGAGAGAGAGAGAGCGCGAGAGAGAGCGAGCCAAGCAAGCAGTAGGATCTGAAAATCACATTTAAGTCATCAGACCTGGTGGCAAGGCTCTTTACCACCAAGGCAGCCTGCTGACCCCTTCTTAAATTTATTTAGTTTATTGTGTGTATTTATATAGTATATGTTTATGTATGTGGGTGGGCACAGGCATGCCACACTGTGCATGTGTGGAGATCAAAGGACAGCTTATGGAAGTAGGTTCTCTCATTCCACTATGTGGGTCACGAGCGTAGAACTCAGGTTGTCAGGCTTAATGGCAGGTGGTGACATTATCTACTGAATTATCTCACTGGCCCATAAAAGACAATTTAACAGAACTCTTGGCTCCTTCTCTAGCACCATGTCTGTCTGGGTGCCACAAGCCAGCCCCAATGCAAGGTTTTCCTTTATGAGTTGCTGCGGTCATGGTGTCTCTTCACAGCAACAGAAGCCCCAAGGCACCTATACTGGCTGGGGTAAACCCACTTCTCATGAGGTGGCTCTAACTCCAGTCACACTCTGTGACCCCCTTCATTCAGATGGGTTTATCTCTCCATTGCTGTCTTCTCTCCATTCTGACTGCTAAGCATTCTGTCTGAGCTATATCCCCAGCCTCCAAATGGGTTGTGAATGACTTGTGCTAGGGGAAGATCTGAAAGGAGATAGTCTCACGCTCAATTGCTAGGGGAAGGGTTTCAGTTCTGACCACTATGGGACTTTTTACACTTCCTGTCACATGTCTGGATCTAGCCTAATAAAATAATTCCCATCCTCTGTTCTACTGCTGCACTGTTTCCAGATTTGGCCTTGCTCTCCAGATTCTACAATCCCAACAGTTACCCACTCACACTCAGCTGAATGTTCTGAGAAGTAAGTTCTTCTGCCTTCTTTTCCAGGGAGGACACCCACAGCTTCCGCTTCTGGCGGCATCGGGAGGCTGCAGCTCGGTTTCGCTCTAAAAATCTCTGCCGACGCTCATCTGGATCTTCATCTACTGTGCGCCGCCGCCGCCCCCCCGTGCTAGGGGTGGGCTGGGCTGGAGAGACCTGTTGCCCAGGAAAGAAGAATACTGTTTTCTTTTCCCTTTTCTGGCTTGTCTTTGAACAGTCTTGCTATACAGATCAGGCAGACCCTGCATTTTGGCCCTTCTGCTTAGGTATCCAGCGTGCTGGGATCCACAGGCACCAGTTTTTAACTTTGTCACTTGGCAGAGCAGAGAAGTACTTGATGGGAAAATATTTTATTTCCCCAAATCAAAGCTGTGTTACGGAGATTAATAAGGTCTGGTAAAGACCTGGTAACCACATCAAATCTCATCACTATGTCTGCCAGCTTCCTATCCTGCCTCCCACTTCCCAAGTACTCTCAGTACACAGGCAGATAAGCCACAATTCTGTTGGAAACTGATTACTTTTGTATAACAGAATTCCAGAAGTAAAACCAGGATCACTTAGGAGCTTGTTTTGCTTTGTTTTCTTTCTTTTTTGGTGGGGCTGGGAACTGAATCTAGGGTTTGAGCTGGAGTGCTGCTCCCTTTTTTGTTGTTGACTCATGGTCTTCTCCCATTCATGTTGCTCTCCAGGCAGGGAGCCCTGGATAACTTTGAACTCCGGTTCCCCCTGGCTCTATCCCCAAATTCTGGACTCTTCAGACTGTTGTTCCTCCTGTCTTACCCTAAGAAGCTTAGATTACAGGCCTGCGCCACAAGGTCCACTTGCTCTCTCTCCTTCCCTTCCTCTCTCCCTTCTTTTTTTTTCTGATACAGCGACTTTTTTTTGTTTTTGTTTTTTGAGACAGGGTCTCTCTGTGTAGCCTTGGTTGTCCTGGAACTCAACTCTGTAGATCAGGCTGGCCTTAAACTCACAGAGATCCATCTACCTCTGCTTCCAAGTGCTGAGATTAAAGGTGTGCGCTGCCACTACCCAGCTGTCTTTTGTTTTTTAAGCTCCAAGTGATATCTTTTGCAATAAAGCACTATCTTTCCATTCTATTAGTTGACATATATATATATTATATATATATGACATACATATATGTATGGAGAGAGAGAGAGAAGGCTCATCAACTTCATGACAATGCCAAAAATAAATTATTTTTTTTAACCAAAAATAATATCTTTTATAATAATAATATAATTATAATAATATCAATAAAATTATTATTAATATAATATAATTATTAATATAAATAACAATAACAATAACAATAATAATAATTATTATTATTTTGAGACAGGGTTTCTCTGTAGCTTTGGAGCCATCCTGGAACTAGCTCTTATAGACCAGGCTGGCATTGAACTCACAGAGATCTGCCTGCTTCTTCCCGAGTGCTGGGATTAAAGGTGTGCACCACTACTGCCCAGCTTATTATCGTTATGTGTGTCTGTAGAGGTCAGAGTACTCTCCTTTCACCTTCATGTGAATTTGGAAGATGGAACTCATGTTATCAGTGTTGGTAGTGACCATCTCTATTCACTGATCCATCTTGCTGGCCCCTAATTATTTTTTAATTGAACATCTATTTATTAGTATTTTCCCAATGCTAGTCATTAGCCACATAAAGATAAGCAGGAGCTACAACGACAACAAGAAAGGCCTCTAATCCCAGCACTTGGGAGGCAGAGGCAGGCAGATCACTGTGAGTTTGAGGCCAGCCTGGTCTACAGAGTAAGTTTTAGGACTCAGTTACATACTGTGACCTTGTCTCAAAACTCCAAAACCAATAAATGGAAATCTACTTTAGCCTCTACTGTATTCAGTTTCCTAGTAATTCAGTAACTAAGACATGATTTTACTTATTTAGGCTAGTATTATCTTTTGAAAGAAAAAATTAGGGAATTTCTAACTCATATAATGAACTAAAGATTCTGTTTGGATCCTAGTATTGAGGAGAGCCTGTCTTCAAGAAATCCTGATGGGCATGGTACTTGCCTATCGAAAGGTTGAGGCAGACCGGGCAGTAATGGTGCATGCCTTTAATCCTAGCACTTGGAAAGGCAGGTGGATCTCTTGAGGTTGAGGCTGAGGCCAGCCTGAACTACAGAGTGAGTTCCAGGACAGCCAGGGAAATACAGAGAAATCCTAACTTAAAAAAAAAAAAAAAAAAGGAGGGTCATGAGTTTGAGATCTCTCAAAAACTCCAAACCAAAAACAAATGGGAAAAGATAAGAAAGGAGAGAAGAGAACTCAGTAGTGACTGACAAGGAGCCACATCCTTTTTCTAAGAGGAAAAGCCCAGCTCAGGCAAGGGTTACTTGCTTTATCCCCAGGACTGGCTGGCTTTGGGGAGGGAGGGGTCAGAATGATTGGAAACCTTAGCTTTCAAGAAGAAAACACAAATGAAAGCTCGTGCTGTTGGCCAAGGCTTAAGGCAGCATATGGCCATGAAATGTCTGGACATGTGGTAGTACTGATGAAGCAGGTGGTGACATCAGTGAAGAGACTGGGCAGTGAATGTACCTCTAGAAACCAATCCCGGGTCACTGTCATCTATCCAGTGAAGACAATTATGAGAACCGAAGCTATTCAGTTCCTAAAGAACCGCATTAAAACAGAGACTTCTTTGAGAAGAAATTGGGCAACTAAATGGGACCTCTGCTGACTTTAAATTTTTTTTTAATTTTCATTTCTTTGTGATAAAAAGGAATTATCAGATTGGTAACGAGGTTTTTTTGGTATGTTTTCTTACTTCTAATGAGCTATATTTCACTATTATAATATCATATTGTATTAATATATTTTTATAATGTGCTTTCTGTTATAAAATCTAATCAGATAACTGATAACTTTTAACAGATAAGCAAGAGATACAGAGGCTTCCTTTGTTTAGTGCGTGATTTGGCTTAATATGAGTCTCTATCATCTAAGAATCTATATTAGATTATCATTCACATATGGGAAATACAGAGGCCTTCTCTGCAACAGCTCTGCGTAATTCATGCTGCTTGCACTGATGTCTAACCAGAGGCAGGCAGATGAAAATAGCTTGTGTCACTATAGTCAACGTACCAAAAACATCCAAAGTAGCAGGACACCCAGAAATTTAAATTTATTAATGTATTCTTCTCTCAGTTCATGCTTCTTGAAAATCAGCTATAACATAAAGAATAAGGGCACAACTGACCTGTGGCTGGGCAGGGGATGGGGTATCAGGGTGCTGAATGAGGATCTGGTTCTGCTCTGGACGGGCTGTCACCATGGTGCTGGCAGTACCCACCATCATCCCACAACCTCCATTGACGGAAGAGACTTGGTGGGTCAGAGTGGCTTTTAGTCTCTGTGTGGAAAGATTGTTTAAAAAGACAAGGGTGAGATTTTGCCAAGGATAAACTTATATTACTGACCTTATACCTAAAATTCTCACTCTAATTTTCTCTTAACAGAGGAACTAAAAGACAATGGCAGGGAGAGAAAATATGCACCTGGACCCCTAAAATGCCTACTTTGTTCCCTGGCTCTCATCCTGGGCACAGCTGGGGACAGGGCTTGTGGAAGCGATGGACCCAGATGGAAGCTCTCCTGGAACCTGGCCAGACCCTGGTTAAAGCCGCTCACCACTTGGCCAGCTCCCCGCCCACTCCCTCCCTCCATCTGTCACCCTGGACTGAAATGGCAAGTGTTCCATTCCAAACAATCTGTGCTGCTGCTTCTGTGCCGTGACCTGTGCCAGGCTATCAGGGTGGGGACAGGAGACTTAGGAATCAGGGTCTTTTCCAAGCCCACAGAAGGATGTATTCAACCTTCAGAGGGCTCCTGTGCTTAGTTCCCTTGAAAAATCTAGGCTGATAACTACTTCTTTTAGAAGGCCAACCCTGCTCTAGGCCGGAATGGACTCACCATCTTGGCTTCTGACGGCATAGGGTGGCCAGATGGAGAAATGGAGCCACTACTGTTGACTGGTGGGCCAGGTATACCAGGAATGTTGGGCACCATAGACACAGGTCTGGCCAGCTAAATTAAGAGAAGGAGACATGGTAGCATTGGTTTCCCTCAAACGGAGTGTTTTTAAGATTGGCATGTCAGGGCCTGTTCTGTGTAATCTGCTCACAGGACATGTAGAAACAGCCTTGGAAATACCTGTCCTAAGGAGGGTCACAGAGTAAATGATCTCATTCTTTAGTGTGGGGACATCTTCCATGGGAAGGGCTAGAGATGTCTCTTTAGGAAAGCGGTGCACAGTGCCGGAGAAGCTGTGTGCCAAGTGAAATCAACCAATCAGCAGGTTGGCAAGATTAACTCCTTGACTAGAAGCCAACTGTCCAGATGAGTCTTTGTCTAGTGTTTCACAGTGCTGGGCTGGCAGAGGTTAGTGAAGAGTTTGGGCAAACTGCCACATACAACTAAAACAGTCCAGGTCCACATTTCCCTGGTGGGGGGGTCCTCTGGTTATGATCATTCAGGTGGAAGGGAGGGATCAGTGTGCTGGTAGGTTTGGCCGCCCCAACTACAAAACTCACTGAAATAACAGAAGGCATCTGTACTGGAGGCCCTGGCAGCACAGGCATGGTCTGTCCATTAGCAAGATGCATGACGAGAGGGAGGGAGCCAGTAGGAGATCTGCAGGAGAATTGAAGGGAGATATCACAATCTCGACCTTTTGCCTGTTGGTCTTTTTCTCCTATAATTAGATATTTTTAATAGCCTTCTCATTAAGAAAGGTATAAAACAGCACTATTAAATCTTGGCATCCTTTTGAACATGGGAAAAATGGAGAGAAATGACAGTCTGTTTTTGTCCTAGGGTTTTAACAGAAGTATTTTAGAACATGTCAAACAAGCCCCAGTCTACCTGCCTTAGTCTGCAAAGACTTGGTGGCTTTTTGGTGCTGGGGATTAATAAGACCTTGGACATGTGAGCTACTTTTCTAGTTCTACAGTCTGGCAACAACTTTATACCTTTCAAATTAATCGAATTTAATGGCTGGGAAGTAACTCTATTAGGAATTTGGGATAATTAAACAAACATCTCCAGCAAATAACTTTTTTGAAAATGTTTTATTTTAGGAAACAATCTTAATAACTCTTTTCTTGGGCATGTAAAAATAAATTGCTAAACCAGGTGGTGGTGCATGCCTTTAATCCCAGCATTTAAGAAGCAGAGACAGGTGGATCTCTGTGAGTTCAAGGCCAGCCTGGCCTATAGAGCAAATTCCAGGATAGGTTCCAAAGCTACAGAGAAACCCTGTCTCAAAAACAAAACAAAAACAACAACAACAACAACAAAAAATTTGCTGGAGCCAGCTTCAGTAGCATATACCTGTAATCCCCAGCATGCAGGAGGTAGAAGCAGGATGATGAGAATTTGAGGCCAGCCTTGGCTACTTAGAAAGATCATGTCTTAAAACAACAATAAACTGAGAACAACAACAGAACAGTTTCTATTTTTATCAAATAATTTCAAAACATAGAAAGAGATTCAGAAGGGCTGGAGGTGGTTCTTCATATATTACAGAAGATCAGTTCAGTTTATAGCACCCACATTGGGCAGCTCACTGAGGGTTACGTGAACATACCCAGAGGAAGTCACACACATCTACACATAATTTTAAAAGATAGTAAGAATAAATCCTTAAAAAACAATGCCTAGTGGTGTTGGTAGACACTTTAACCTCAGTACTCGGGAGGCCGAGGCAGGTGGATCTCCGAGTTCAAAGCCAGGCTAGTCTACAGAGCCAGGGCTATATAGAGAAACTCTGTTTCAAAAAAACCAAAGGAAATCCAGATTCCACGGTTTCTCCTACTCTCCTACTTACCCCATTTGCCTGTTAGATGGTGGAGCCTGTGTGATGACAGAGGTTGGGGAAGGAAGAGTCGGATGAAGTGGATCATAACCTAAGTGGAGTGGCAGGGAGCCAGGACGTACGATGGTGGGTGTAGGGGTAGAAATCACAACAGGTTTTGTGGCAACTTCCTAGGGAGAGGGGACAACAAATTTCAAAAAGCTTTAAGAACTGTGTATAGGGAAATACACTGTTGGGCTTTTCACTGAAAGAGCATTAGTTACCCAATTCCACACTTCACCCATTCAGTAGGGACAATGATTAAAGATCATTTGGAAAATCATTTGAAGTCTTTGGAGAAATGCTGTAACCTACGACATTACAATATCATGTAAATTCCAGGGATTTTCTACACTATAAATACTCTCATTCTAAATAATACTGAGTGTCCTATGACTTCCACTGAGAAAATAAAGGTATACTGGTGGTGGGACAGTCCAGTGTTTCCAAGAGACTTCACTAAGCAGGGTCTACAGAAGCTTGACACAGTGCTTCTCACTGTTAACTAGTTAGGACCTCAGACCTTGAATCATCTCTACAAAGTCTCCAGAAATTAGCTGCCTACAGAAAGGGGAAGGAGGGAGACAGCTCATATTTATGGAAAAGGTAGCTTTGAGAACTTAATAAGTCAGATTCAATTCTAAGTAAGACAAGGCACAGATGTTCTCTCCACAGTACATATTAAAACTAGCACTGGCAGGACAGTAGAGACAGGGAGGTGACATAAGTGACTTCTGGGTGGTTTTTTTTTTTTTTTGTTTTTCGCTGTAGTCCTGGAACTAGCTCTTGTAGACCAGGCTGGCCTCGAACTCACAGAGATCCACATAAGTGGACTTCTGAAGGTCTAATATCTGATTTTGATCTGGGAGCTGATTACTACAGATTATTCACTTTTTGGAAAGTTGGAGGGTTCTATAATTACAGTTGTATTATATGTCAAAGAAAATGGTCTTTAAAAATAGGTATACAAGCCAGGTGGTGGTGACACACGCCTTTAATCCCAGCATTCTGGAAGGCAGAGGCAGGCAAATCTCTGAGTTTGAGACCAGTCTGGTCTACAAGAACTAGTTCCAGGACAAGCTCCAAAAAGCTACAGAGAAACCCTGTCTCCAAAAACCAAAAAAAACAAACAAACAAACAAAAAAAAAAGAAAAGAAAAAGGTAGACAAGCCAGGTGGTAGTGATACACACCTTTAATCCCAGCACTCTGGAAGGCAGAGGCAGGCAAATCTCTCTGAGTTTGAGCCCAGCCTGGTCTATAGAGCGAGTTCTAGGACAGCCAGGGTTATACAGAAACCCTGTCTTAAAAAACAAAACAAAACAACAACAAAAAAGGTGGCACACACCTTTAATCCCAGTACTCAGGAGGAGAGGTGGGTAGTTACAAAATGAGTTTCAGGACACGAGGTGTGGTGGAGGATGCACTGGAAAGCTGAGGCATGAGTGTTACTGTGAGTTGGAGGGCAACTTGGGGCTACATTATGAGACTATCTCAAAAAAGGTTTAAAACAAAACAACCACCAAAAGTAACTACTTTTACAAATAATCCCTTTACGTTATTTCCCTCTGGGAGGAATTTTTTCCTAATAGTTTAATGTCTTGTGCTGAATAGTTTTATGTCAATTTGACACAAGCTAGAGCTATTTGAAAGGAGGGAACCTCAATTGAGAAAACACCTCCATAAGATCTGGCTGTAGGTAAGCCTGTACAGCATTTTTTAAAATTAGTGGTTGATGGGGTAGGGCCCAGTCCATTGTGGGTGGTCCTGGGCTCTATAAGAAAGAAGGCTGAGGGGCTGGAGAGATAGCTCAGAGGTTAAGAGCATTGCCTGCTCTACCAAAGGTCCTGAGTTCAATTCCCAGCAACCACATGGTGGCTCACAACCATCTGTAATGAGGTCTGGTGCCCTCTTCTGGCCAGCAGGCATACACACAGACAGAATATTGTATCCATAATAAATAAATAAATAAATATTAAAAAAAAAGAAAGAAAGAAGGCTGAGCAAATCATGAGGCACAAGCCAGCAAGCAGCACTCAGCACTCCCCTCTGGCCACTGCATCAGCCCCTGCCTCTGGGTTCCTGCCCTGTTAAGAGTTCTGTTCTGACTTCCTTGATGATGAACCGCAATGTGGAAGTGTGGTCATGGTGCTTCATCACATCACTAATAACCCTGACTAAAAGACATGTGCAATTAATGAATACATGGTTTTATCTCTTTTTTTGTATTAAAATATATTTATTTATCTGTGGCCAGAGGCTTATGGAAATCAGAGGACAACTTACAGAAGTCAATTCTCTCCTTCCACCATGCAGGTCCTGGGGATCAAACTTAGGCTGTCAGAAGATACCTTTACCCTATACAGTCCATCCCAGGCTGGCTTTGAGTTCACCAAGTAACCAAGGATAACCTGGAATTCCTGATCTTTGTTTCGACCTCCCAAGTGTTGGGATGTTAGGTGTGCACTACTATGCCTAGTTTCTTTTTTTTCTTTCTTTTTAAAAAACAAAAACTCAAGGTTCTATTATGTAACCCTGACCCAGAATTCACTATATAAAACAGACTGGCCTTGAACTCACAGAGATCCACCTACCTCTGCCTCCCAAGTGCTGTGATTAAAAGCACATGCCACCATACATACCTGACTTCTTTTTTACTTACCGAAATATAATTAATCTAAAGTCATTACAATGAAATTACTTTTGCATAAGCAAAATCAGGATGGAGATCATTTCCAGCACCCAAGAAGATTTTCCTCTGTCCTTTCCTGATTCACACTCTACCATCATGAGAGGTACCCACTGTTCTATTTATCCCCTCTCTCTTTGTCCCTGTTGTGGGATCCTCTTTGTGACAGCAGCATTTTGTATTCTCCAGGCTGACCTAAAACACATCCTGTTATTCAGTGTTTGTGAAATCTATGTATATTGTTATGTATTCCTTCTGACCATCCATCCACTCACCTTCTAATTCTCTCCTTCATTCTTCCCTCCCTCTCGCCCTCCTCTCCTTTTTTTTCTTTTTGTGGTACTCAGGATTGAGCCCACAGCCTTACACATGATAGGCAGGTGCTCTGCCACTAAACTTCATCTTCAGCCTGGTTCATCAAATGCCACACATATCACTCTCTGTCAGTAGGGCGGTAGTGGCGCACACCTTTAATCCAAGCACTTGGGAGGCAGAGGCAGAGATATACCACTATTATACCACTATTTGTTTGTTGCTGCAATGGAATCCAGGCATTGTGAACACTAAGCAAGTGCCATCCCTAGCTACATCACCAGCTTTTGGTTGATTGATACTCGGAATGTTTTCATTCTCTCTTCTAATCTGAGTATGTTCTGTGGAATATTCCTTTACACCGTGTGGATATATGTTGCTGTGATTGGTTTAATTAAGAAGCTGACTGGCCAATAGCTGAACAAAATAGGGTTTAGGCAGGAGAGCCAGACTAGAAGAATTCTGGGATGAAGAAGGACAGAGTCAGGGGAGTTGCCAGAGATGCACAGACAGAAGCAAGTTGGGCATGCCATACTAAAAAAAGGTATTAAGCGGGGGCTGGAGAAATGGCTCAGCGGTTAAGAGCACTGATTGCTCTTCCAGAGGACCCAGGTTCAATTCCCAGCACCCACATGGCAGTTCACAACTGTCTGAAAATCCAGTTCCAGGGGATCTGACACCTTCACACCAATGCACATAAAATAAAGATAAATAAATCATAAAAAATTTTTTTAAAAAGGTATTAAGACAAGTAAAAAGCATAGATAAGAAATATGGATTAACATAAATGTAAGAGCTATATTTATAATTAATATCAGCCTCAGCGTGTTTGAGAGCAACTGCAGCACACGAAAACTCTACTTACAAATGGTAGCCAATGTGGGGCCAGAATTTCCATATAAGACCTGACAAAGCTTTAAAAAAAAAAAGATTCTAAACACAAAAACAGGTTCAAGCATGGCTTCTTGGTAACCACCTTTTCTCAGGTAGGCTGTTTGCTGGAGAGAAGCAGAGACATGGCTCCTTTAAGAGATGGGTTTCTGGCTCAGTGCTAGTGGCAAAAAAATTAACATGACTCTTTTAAGAGGCCCTTCTACCAAAAACTTAAATGGGGTTTATGAGCAGTAGGAGGTGCACTACTTGGCAGAGTGGACCCAAAAACTCCCCAGAGTTGGGATGGTAAATTGGCTCTCCCTCGGGCACCTTCGAGGGAACTGTGTGGGGCGGAGCTAGCCGCCAAAGGAGAGGCTTTGCTCCTAGCCATACTGCTTAACAGTTTAAAGGCTCATGCAGTTAGAAAAAGATTACAGATATGTAATAAAGAGAGATTTGGATAAAAAAACCCTCTAAACAGGTTACAGTGTGTTTAAAAATATACATAGGTATGGGAGAGAAAAAAGACAGTATAGACAGTCATAAAAGATATATATAGTTTTAAAATAATAAAGTCCTTAAAAAGGAAATAAAATAATATGAAAGAAATAAGCTAAGCAAAGATGAAAAATACACAAAAAGTCTGGTTCCTATGTTATTGTGCTGTCTTTAAGTTTTTTTGGCTGCTAAGAGACATTGGGTTATAAAAGGTACTAGATTAAACCAACCTATATATTTTAAAAATATCTTGACTTCAAAATTTAAGTCAAAAGATATGTTACTTTGGGGAAGATGCCAGGGATCACATCAGAGGAGTAGCAAGTAGCAATTGAAGTTCAAGGTGTCAGTCCACCAGGAAGAAACTCTTCTGGTGGGTGAATCTCGGTTAGGCAAGGCCACAGATCCCAGAGTGTCTTTTGCTTCTGCTGTGCCTTTACATGCTGCTATCTTTCTCTGGTATCTGGTACGGTGTGAGTGGGTGTGGGGAGACCCCACTGCCTGTAATGTAATGTGTCTATCTCATGGATACATCCTGTTCTACTGGGCATTTTTACCTGTGTATTGTCACCAAAGATAATTCTTTTCTAAGCTGTACTGTCTAATCAATAATAATAATGTTAGCATATACAGAGTTTTGATGAATAAAAATAAATGTAAAGAATCTGTATAGATTGTGGCTCAAGTTAATGATTAAGAAAAACAATTGACTCCCAGAGCCAGGCTGGCTTAAATTCCTTTAATCTTAATGCTGAAAGATACAGTCATAGATTCTGGTGTGTGTCAATAGCTGTAACAAAGCTCCAAAATAACTTCAGGTTAGAGCAGATGCTTTGATAATAGCCTTAGGATAAAAAAAAAAACAAAAACAAACAAAAAAAAACACCCCAAAAAATCTAAAGTTCACAAGGACACATAGCCGAGCTATAAATTCATTAGGTGAGGGTCAAAATACAAAGCAGCCCAACTGACATACTTTCCTTGCTAGGGTTGGTTGGTGACCAAAGGTGATGGTTAATTCCTTGTGCTCATTCCTGGCCTCAATCTTCTGATATAAGAAACTACTGATGAGTGAGTTTGCACCCTAAAGAATTAAGCATAGATGGCTGATGGTTTTCATGTATAAATGTATAGGTTTGTGATCTCTTTAAGATTCTTTATATGATTACTTTTCAAGATAAATAGTAAAATGATTGATTCTTTCTTTGTAACAGCAATATGCAGCCTGCCAATAAAGAGTTGGCTGAGAAAAATTACTTGCTCATATTCTGTAATCTGTAACAAGTTACTTAGATGTAAATGTATGTGGGTTATTGGGGTGACTTTGTTTTTAATCATGTAAGGGAGATAAAAAACATGTTTTTCGCCTTTAATCCCAGCACTCGGGAGGCAGAGGCAGGCGGATCTCTGTGAGTTCGAGACCAGCCTGGTCTACAAGAGCTAGTTCCAGGACAGGCTCCAAAACCACAGAGAAACCCTGTCTCGAAAAACAAAACAAAACAAAACAAAACAAAAAAACCCCCAAAAAACATGTTTTTACCTGTATTCATTATAATAATTCACTTGAAAAACTGAATGTAACCACACTGTAATTTTTATATTACCTAAAAGATTTTGCTGGGGTATATAAGCTGTATCTAGAGATAGAGCTAGAAAGAGTTAAAATGGGCTAGAAGGAAGACATCAAAGTGAGAGAGTTAGAGGGAAACATCAAGAGTAAAGACAGAGTTAGAAAACATCAAGAATGAGAGAAGAAAGAAGAGAATGCAAAAAAAAAATAAATAAAGGTTTGAAGGAAATAATTAAGAGAGTGTGTGAGTGTCTTTTTTCCTAACCCTTTCAGATAGAGAAGTCTAGTGTACCCTGATGCTGTGGATTCCTTTCGAGCCCTGCACTGTCTAGAGTGTCTGTCCCCCAGGCAGCAATAGAAAGAGGTTATGCTTTTATTTCCACAGAAAATGAGAGGCTGTGGATTTGTTCAAGGTTAAGGATGATCAGGTTTCACTGAGGAAGACCTTCTTGAAATCCTGACTACAGACACAAAGAAATAAACCTAGAAGAATTACAAGACATGTGTATGCAAGACACCTGCTCAAACATGTAATAAAAAATCATCTTTGGCTGATTTGTATACAATACAGTCTATACTTGTATTAATACAGATATGTATGTTACCTTTAAAAGGTTATGTATTTTCAGGGGCCAGACACCAATGAAAGCGGATGGCCCAGGTGATTCAGCATCCAGAACAGCTTCAAAGCTGCTGACTAAGACGGTCCAGTCTCACAAACTATTTCAGTCAGGGCCTAATAGTTATCCTGATTTTCTCAAGGGTCTCCCAACGATAACAGTGTCCACAAACAACAAGAAGTAAACTAGAGAGTGACATCTGCATTCCCAAAAGATTCGGTATAAATGGTTGTCATCATTTAAGGAGGTTTGGTTACAAATTTTTAGTGGTCATAGTCAGGAAAAAAGCTAAACATAGGAGTTAAATTCAAAGATCTCTTTCTAAGGGAAAAGGGGGATAGGGCACAGAAATGATGGGATAAAAGGATAGATTATTAAATCTCTTAAACCAAAAACAACTATTCATCTAAAAATATTTTATATTGGTATGTATTTTGGTTTATTGATACAAATTTAAAGTTAATTTTGTTATGCTGTATGTATGTTTCTACTCTTGTTTGGAAGTATTGTATTTGCTTAAAAATGTAATATATAAGCCGGGTGGTGGAGCTGCATGCCTTTAATCTCAGTACTCGAGAGGCAGAGACAGGCAGATCTCTGTGAGTTCGAGGCCAGCTTAGTCTAAAAGAGCTAGTTTCCAGAACAGGTTCCAAAGCTACAGAGAAACCCTGTCTTGAAAAACCAAAAAAAAAAAAAAAGTATAAAAAGTATAATTAGGAAATACAGATTAATAGTTACCTACAGTAAGTCAAATTTATAGTCATGTTAGGTATGTTTTCAAGGTCATACATAGATAAATTCAGATAGATAAGATGGTCTTTAATCATGTCAAAGACCTACAGAATATGGTATTTAATGTTTAATTACCTAAGGTTTTTCATGACAATGAGTCACATCTGTTCCTGGCAGCACCAATTTGCTTCAGAGATTATCTTAATGGGCATAGAAGAAACTCCATAAGGAATTTGCTTTCTTTATGGCAAAAGCTAGCAAAGAAACTGCCCTTGCCTCAATTACTGACAATTACTGTCCACTGGACCAGCAGGATGCAAGAAATGCAACTGCTGAACTTTGCCAAGATAAGGTAGGAGAGTCCTTCAAAATTCCCTGCTTCTCAGGAAAGTTTGTCAGACATGTTAAGCCTGTAGGCCAGAGTTGGATGCCCCAACATTAGAGGAACCTAGGGTGACTGTCCACGTGGCCTAATGTCCCTGTCATTAGGTAACATTTTACCCTTCTGTGGTCTTTGATGGAGTTAAAGACTAGACAGCTGTAATTATAGTTTTCCTTAATTATGATAAAAAGGTAAATTAGATGTAAAACTTTAGACCCACCAAGAAAAGATAGATAATAGAGTATTTTCTCTAATATTGCCAAATACAAATGGACTGGATAGTGTAACTGTTTTTGATAACTGTTTTTGTTGTATGTTGACAGAGCTTTTTGTCCTGCCCAGTCCCACAGCCATTCAGTCTCAAAGAAACACACAGAGGTCTACATTAATTATAAACTGGTTGGCTTATTAGCTCAGGCTTCTTATTAACTCTTATAACTTACATTAGCCCATAATTCTTGTCTATGTTAGCCATGTGGCTTGGTACCTTTTTATCAGCAAGGCATTCTCATCTTGCTTCCTCTGTGTCTGGATGAAGACTGCAGATTGCATCTTTCCTCTTCCCAGAATTCTCCTGTTCTCATCGCCCAGCCTCTACTTCTTGCCTGGTCGCCCCACCTATATACTTCCTGCCTGGCTACTGGCCAATGAGCGTTTTATTAAAACAACACAAGACCACTGTTCCACAGCAGCTGTATATAATTTTTCTATGTTAAAGTTAAAACCTTCCTTTTTTTATTTAGACAAAAGGGGGAAATGCTGTGGAATATTCCTTTACTGCTATGATTAGTTTAATAAAGAAGCTGACTGGCCAATAGCTGAACAAAATAAGATTAGGCAGGAGAGCCAGATTAGGAGAATTCTAAATAAAGATAAAGAAGGGTAAAGTCAGGGGAGTTGCCAGAAATGCAGGGCGAGAAGTAAGATGGGCATGCCATACTGAAAAAAAGGTACCAAGTTGTGTGGCAGAGCATATATAAGAAATATGGGTTAACATAAATGTAAGAGCTAGCTAGTAATAAGTCTGAGCTATTGGCTGAGCATTTACAATTAATATTAAGTCTCCGTGTTGATTATTTGGGAAGTGGTGGGACAGTAACTTCTGCCTACATGTGTGTATGTGGTATGTGTATGTTTGTGTGTGAGTGTGGTCATGTGGAGGTCAGAGGACAACTACTGGGTTTGTTCCTCCCCTTGTTTTGAGATAGGAACTCTTCTTTTACCACTGTAAACAACAGGCTAGACAGCTTCCAAAGGTATCTTCTGTCTATCTGTACCTGCTATCTCACAGCAAAAGCATTGGGATTAGAGGCACATACTACTTACCTGGGTGGTATATTTACCCAGATTTTCTGGATTTAAACTTGAGTTCCCATGCTTGTACAGCAAGCACTTTTACCTACTAAGTTATCTTTCTAGCTTCCAGACGCTTAAAAAAAAATGAATAATGCTGAGCAGTGCTGGTACACGCCTTTAATCCCAGCACTCAGGAGGCAGAGGCAGGTGGATCTCTGTGAGTTTGAGGCCAGCCTGGTCTACGGAGAGAGTTCCAGATCAGGCTTCAAAGCTACAGAGAAATCCTGTCTCAAAAAACAAACAAACAAAAAAACAGAAAAAAATAACATTTTTATGAACATTCTTACTTATTTCTGTTGGTATACACACAAAACAATCTCTTCAATTTGGAGTTGGAAGTGTAATTGTTAGATGACGGAGTAGGTGTAATTTATTTACATTGCTTAAATATTTAAGATTCCTTTCAAATTATGTATAGACATATCGATAGTGCATATTTGGAGACTAGGGCAGGAGGATTGAGTTCAAAAGTCCGCGTGGGCTACATCAATAAGATGCTATCAAAAAAAAAAAAGAGAGAGAGAGAGAGAGAAAAGAAACGAAAGGAAGAAAAGACATTCATTCCTTTGAGTCCAATCAACCCTTCTCCATCTATCTATCTATCATCTATCTATCTATCTATCTATCTATCTATCTATCTATCTATTTTTGGTTTTTCAAGACAGGGTTTCTCTGTGTTACTTTGGAGCCAGTCCTGGAACTAGCTGTTGTAGACCAGGCTGGTCTCGAACTCACAGAGATCTACCTGTCTCTACCTCCCAAGTGCAGAGCCACCACCGCCCGTTAACCTTTTTCCATTTATGAATACCATTTATGAATCAAAACTAACATTTGGGATGACTTTTGGGAGAGAATTTTACCTTCTCCTTCAGTGGTGGGGAGCAGGGGCTAGAGGCAGGACTGTCGGGGGGTGATGAGTCTACCTCCACTGGCTCCTCTTCTTTGATTTTGATGTCTGGTGTAGAAGGCAGAGACATGTCAAGAGGCCCAGGAGCACCCTGTTGGGGAAACAGTAAGTGGAGTTCAGTTTCATGATGCGTGTAACAATGAGGTCAGGGCATTTGTTTCACCAAGTTCAGCTCTTGGTCAAGTGGTGTAGGAGGTTTTTCTGTTTGTGTGTTGCTTTCATTGGCTGAATAAAGAGACTTCCTTGGCCTTTTGATAGGGCAGAATTTAGATAGATAGAGTAGACCGAACAGGATGCTGGGAAGGATAGACAGGCAGACACCATGGTTCTCCTGCCCGAGATGGACGCTGGTTAAACTCATGCCAGTAAGCCACAGTTAAGTGATGATACACATTAATGGAGATGGGTTAAACTAATATGTGAGATTTAGCCAATAAGAGGCTAGAAATAATGGGCCAGGCAGTGATTTAATTAATACAATTTCTGTGTGATTATTTTGGGTGTAAGCTAGCCGGTGGGATGGAACAAGGGGCCCTGCTCCTTTATACAACAGTCAAGACCCTGAGCTGCCAAGTGCCAGAGAAATGTAGATTCATGCTTTATGTAGACTCTGGTCAAGTCACAGTATCTTCTTGGGGCTTCTGTTCCCTAACTACAAAATGAAGATAACATCAGTTGAAAGCAAGTACTTGTAATGCTTAAAAACATGTAAAATAAATGCCACTTAAATCCATGCAAATGCTACATTTATAATATTTCCCCCCAGCAAAGTAAAAGAACTTCTGAATCAATTACCTATCAATTCCCAGCCAGCTTTGCTGGTCATTGGAGAACTGTGAACACTTTCTCTGCCAACCAGAATGCCTTGGTTATTAACCAGTTACCAAAAGCAGCAGAAGACAAACTAGCCATTAAAGTGCTGCAAAAAAAGATAGAAAAGATCTTTTCTGGGGAACCTGTCATGTTAGACGGTGATCACAATCTGTTTAGGGCAGGAGACTAGAAACTTCATACAGGGTTTGGGGATAAACAAAGAAAGGAAAGGCTGGTCTCATCTCATCAATGAAAAAATGGGTCTCAGAGACAGTACCAGAGGAACCAGAAAGTAAATAACTTTCCAGGCAGAGGTGCCACTACCTAACTTAATTGGCAGCTATAAATGGCTTTGCAGGGAATAGTAAACTATCTGATATAAGAACCCTGATGCTGTACCAGCTTCATGTCAAAGTGGATCCTTTGTTCTCTTCTTCCTATATCCTAGGCTTCTTGGTGAAAGGGGAATTTGTTCCTACCACTTTTTTTGCTACTTTCCCAACCCCAGACATGGTCTCAGCTGTGTAGCTTAGGCTGGCTTTGAACTCTTGAACTTATTATCTTTCCACCTCCCCATCCCAAGTGCTAGGATGACAGATGTACACCATCACTTGCTACCTTCACCTCTGGAAGCCTGAGCAGCAAACTAATTCAGTGTACTGTACTAAAGAGGTAGCAATGATTCTTCTCCATCTCATAGGGTGAGGAACTCCAAAGGATTTTATTTCTGCTTTACTTTTTCTATGTTCCTAAATCTCAGAGCCAATTTAGCTCATTCTGAGACACACTGATGGGAAGGGAAGCCTCTAAGAAAACTTCCCTTTAGAATTCCCAAGAACCATCTCCTATAAAGATTGCGGTTTGGGAAAGTTTCAGGATCATTAAATACCCCTGGAGATAAGACTCCACCACATCTGTGCTTCTCATCAAGGGGAAGAAAAGGCCACCCCTGGACAGAGAGAGAGAATCACCAAAGGAAAATGTTAAGTGAGCTAAAAAATGGCAGCAGGAAGGATAAAGCAATGAGCAGGAAACGTTAACGTTTTTAAATTCTATTTTTTCTTCCTCTTATTTATTCACGTGTGTACATGCTGGGATCAAATGTGCTGCGGTGTAGTGTAGAGCTGTGGTGTAGCGCAGTGTAGAGCCGCAGTGTAGAGCCGCAGTGTAGTGTAGAGCCGTGGTGTAGTGTAGCGCCGCGGTGTAGTGTAGCGCCGCGGTGTATTGTAGTGCGGTGTAGTGTAGAGCTGTGGTGTAGTGTAGAGCCGCGGTGTAGTGTAGAGCCGCGGTGTAGTGTAGAGCCGCGGTGTAGTGTAGAGCCGCGGTGTATTGTAGTGCGGTGTAGTGTAGAGCTGTGGTGTAGTGTAGCGCTGTGGTGTAGTTAGTGCTGTGGTGTGTATGTGGAAGCTGGAGGACAACTTTTGAGAGCCAGTTCTTGCCTTTGTTCCTTATTTTAAAATTTTATTTTACATGTATGGATGTTTTGCCTGCATGCATGTTTGTGTACCACTTGTGTGCCTGGTGCCCAAGGAGGCCAGAAGAGGGTGTTGGATGCCTTGGCGCTGGAGTTACAGATGGTTGTAAGCCACTAGGTGGGTGCTGGGAATCAAATCCAGGACCTCTGAAAGAGCAGCCCGGGCTTTTACCTGCTAAGCAATCTCTCCAGTTCCAATTATCCCCTGTCACTGTGTGGGTCCTGAGATTAGATCATTGGTTTGGTGCCAAGTGCCTTATCTGCATCTTCCCAGTCCAGGGAAGCTATTTTTCTTGAATTTGCCTATTGAATTTGATATGCCAGGTGTGGTGGTGTATAAATGTACTCCCAACACTTAGAAGGCTGACATATAAAGATCAGGAACTCGAGGACAACCTAGGTCACATACAGAATTCCAAGTCAGCCTGGGTTATATAGCAAAAGCCTCTTTCAAAACAATAATAATAGAGGTTTAAGGGCCACTGAGATGGTTCAGAGGGTAAAAGGCAGAAGTCTCATGACTTCCACATATAGGCCATGACATACATGTGCATCCATGTGAACACAGGTATACACACACTCACTCACTCTCTTTTTGTCTGTCTTCTCTGTCTCTTTCTCTTTCACTTAAGCAAAACAAAACGTGGAGGGGCACTTGAGAATGACCCCCAGCATTAACCTCTAGTCTCCATATATACTCACACAAATGAGTACACCTGCACAGGAGCATATACCACACATACCGGGAAAGAGCATGAAAAAGCATCTCATAGATAGCTATGAGGAGAACCAGTGATACTTTATCTTATATTTTCACAATTTAAGTTGGATGGTAGCATCAGTTATAAATATTCTGTTCTTGTGGAAACTTTTTCTAATTTGTTGAGTCCTCATTTATACCACACAATAATGAAGTACATGCATTATTAAAATATACATCTTGATATACATGTATTGGAATCTTTTCTGAAGTATGATGTAATCACAGACCTGATTTTAAAGATTTATTATTATTTTTAATTATGTTACGTGTGTCTCTGTGTGGGCATGTGCACATATATGTGGGTGCCTATGGAGGCTAGAGGCATTAGATCTCTTAGAGCTGTAAACTGATCATTCTTCTCCCCTGACTACTTTGGACAGGGTCTTGCTGTGTAGTCCAAACTGGCCTACAACTTGTGTCTTTTTTTTTTTTTTTTTTTTTTTTTTTTGGAGACAAGATTTCTCTGTAGCCCTGGCTGTCCTGGAACTCACTGTGTAGACTAGGCTGACCTCAAACTCACATGGATCTGCCTGCCTCTGCCTCCCAAGTGCTGGGATTAAAAGTGTGTGCCACCACCACTGGTGTGACTTGTGACCCTCTTGCTACAGGGATACATTACCATACCTAACTTGATCTTTCCATATTTCTTTCCCCTACAAGCTCCTTATCTTTCTTTTGATTTTGATTTTTCAGAACTATCCTCTAGTCTTCTAAATGAAGAGATTCTCTGGGAATCTATAACATACAGAAGTTAAACCAGTATCACAGTGTCTTAGAATCAGAAGGAATCAGTCCTTAAGCACAGTATTTTTTTTTTTTACTAAGTATGTTCATGTATCTGAACATTATGGTATCTCCTACATAGTTGTTCTGCTTCAATCTTTGGGCCACAAAAAATAAATTTAGTGGCTAGGATGTAATAATAAAAAAGAAAAAAATAAATTTAGTGCTTTTTTCTTCCTCCTCCTTCTTTTCACCTGTGTATATGTGCCTAAGTGTATATATGTACCACGTGGGTACAGGAACCTGAGGAATTTAGAAGAGGTATTGGATCCCATGGAACTGGAGTTACAGGCAGTTGTGGACGCTGGGAAACAAACCTGGGTCCTCTGCAAGTGCAGGAAGAGCGAAGAGCTCTGAACCACAGAGCCATCTCTCCAGCTTTCCATATTTAACACTCTTGTTTTGAGACAGAGTCTCATTTGGCCCAGGCTAGCCTTGAATTTGGTATATAGCTGAGGATGACTTTTAACCTGTTCCTCTTGCTTCTATCTTCTGAATGCGGGATTGCAGGTGTGTGTCACCAAGGCCAGTTCATGCAGGTGCTGAGGACTTGTGTGTGCTAAGTGAGCACTTTACCAACTGAGCTGGCCTCTAAATTATATATATATTTGGAAACATTGTCTTTTTTCAAATCACAGAGATCTGCCTGCCTTGTCTCTGCCTCCTGAATGCTAGAAATAAAAGTGTGTGCCACCACTGCTCATCTTGAAACACAGTTTTACCATGTACCCTAGAACTTGTTACGCAGCTAAATTTGAGATATCCCTGCCTCAGCTTGCTGAGTGCTGTAATATTACAACTGTGTACAACCATGCCTGGGATGCAATCCTTCTTTTATACAAGAATCTTTGAAGTCTTTCAAGACTACACTTGTTTATTTTTACTGATCACCTTTGCAAAATCATAAGAGAACAACCTTATTTTAGTTTCAGACAGAGTTTCAAACTTGTGATTCTTCTCCCTTGGCCTCTTAAGTGTGCCAAATGCAGAGGTGTGCTATCACACTCAGCTGAAAACATTTTTCTCTAATGCCCTAGGGACAGTGGTTCTCAACCTGTGGGGATTGAACAACCCTTTCACAGGGGTTGCAGATTAGATATACTACATATCAGATACTCACATTACAATTCCTAACAGTAGTAAAATTACAGTTCTGAAGGAGCAATGAAAATAACTTTATGGTTGGGGTCAGCACAACATGAGCAAGTGTATTAAAGGGCTGCAGCGGAATTATTAAGTAGGGCTAGGAAGCTACTTGAATGCAACAGCCTACATACAGAAACAAAAAAGAGGAAATTCAACACATGTGTTGGCTGGAAAACTGAATAAAAATAACAAGTGAGTCGGTAATTCCAGCACTCAGAAGACAGAGGTAGGCAGGTGTCTAGGAATTTTTTTTTTATTTATTTATTATGTATACAATATTCTGTCTGTGTGTATATCTGCAGGCCAGAAGAGGTCACCAGACCTCACTACAGATGGTTGTGAGCCACCATGTGGTTGCCGGGAATTGAACTCAGGACCTTTGGAAGAGCAGGCAGTGCTCTTAACCACTGAGCCATCTCTCCAGCCCCCAGGTGTCTAGGAATTTGAGGCCAGTCAGGGCTACATATCAGTGAGACCCTAAATAGATAAATAAACTACCCAAACAATCAGTTTACAGACAGCGGTGCCTGTTTCCTTATACTGGTGGTGGGAGTGTGGAGGTTCAGGCTCTTGCATGGGTTAGCACTCTACCACTGAGCTATATCTCTAGCCACCCCCCACCCCCAACAAAGATAATTGGTAGAAAAAAAAAGATACCTAATAAAATCTGAGTAACTCATACTTTTGTTTGGTTGCTTTAGTCAGTGTCTCTGTAGTTCAAGCTGACCTGGAATTTACTATATAGCATGGTCTGACCTGGAATGTTCTGTAATCCTCTACCTCAACCTCCCAATTCATATTCTTCAAAACTTTTATTATTGTTCATGTGTTCAATATGCGTATATTCATTCCAAAGGAAGCTAGAAGTGTGTGTCAGATCTCCAGCACGGGTGCTGAGAACTGAACTTGGGGCTCTGTAAGACCAACAAGCACTTTTACCACTGAGCCACCTTTCTAGCCCCCTGTCATATTTACATGGGAAACAAATAGATTACTAAGGGCACTAGTTAAGACCCCAGAACCCAAAGCTAGATCTCCACCTGATGCTAAATGACAGATAAGCATAACAGCCCAGGTCTTAATACAATGAAGCAAGGGGGTCCCACAAGCTGGATTATAAAGTGACATAGAAACTATCCCCAGTTACACAGCGAGACCCATCTCACCCTTGCTCCTACAAGACCTGGATGAATGGCTAGTATTACTGAGTATTGTCTGATTTTATAGAACTAACCCCATGATTCCAGACTTTAATCAGTCGAGCAAATTTCAAGGCACAATGAACATAGCCTGAGTCTAACCACTGCCAGCTTTTCTTTCTAGCCACACTTACCTTTTTTTCATCTTCATCTGTCGCTTTCTTAAATTCATGTTCAAAGGAACTAGCTAGTTCATTGAAAAGCCCCACCTCTTCACAGTTCTTTAGGAATCTAGTCGGAGTAGGCGTTTGATCTGTAGACATAAAAAGAAAAGGAAATGTGTTTTAGTTTTAATTTAAGATTAAAACGAGAGGGCACAGAGATTGTATTTCGAGTTTTCGTGGGTGGATGGTGGCTGTCCGTGTTGTGTCGTCTCAGGGCCAGCAGGGGAAGACAGGACAATGTTCTGTGTGACTAACCACATACCCACCTTCTCTCAAATCTGGATTTAAATATTTCACTCCAATGAAAACACAACCCCAATAAAAGAAACCATTCATGAAAGTAAAGACTCACGAAACCTCTAGATTTGAAGATTAAAGTTAAGCACTGTTTCCCTTCTAAACAAACATCCTGCCAGGTCTGCAGTGAGTAGACAGAAACAGATGGGTGTTAAAATCTGACAGAGAGAACAAACTGAGGACCAGATTGCTGTGTTTGCTCACTAAAGCTACTTAATAAGGAATGGGGCCTGTCTTTCTGAACCCCATTCTAAGCAAATCTAGGGACTGGGGAACAAGACAGTAATATCATGAGTTACAAAAGGAAATTACAAACAATAGGGTTTATTTCATAGAGACATGGGCCCAGAGCAAATTCCGGAAACCAGGCTATTTGGTTTAGATTTGCTGGTCAAAATATCCCCACAGGGGCTATGCAAAACTTTTTCTCAACATACTGCCTCGGTTTTTTCTTTTCTTTTTTTGGAGAAAAGCCCAGGTTATCCTGGAATTTACAGTCTTCTTGCCTTTACCTCCCAAGTGCTGGGATTACAGGAATGTGCCACAAAGACTGGCTTCATTGCTCTTAAGGAGGTGAAACTTCTTCATAAATTATAGGAACTTTTCTAGTACCTCCACCTTCAGATCCTAGCTTGTCTTTCTCTCCCCTGCTTTCCTAAAGTTGAGCCTTGTTCTCAGGGCCCCTGATTCTATTATGATGGTTTTCTTTGATGTGCTTATCACCTCAAGGATTCATCTTCTACTCGAAACTAGACTGATTGATAGAATAATGTTTCAATTATATATATATATATATATATATATATATATATATATATATTTTTTTTTTTTTTTTTTTTTTGGTTTTTCGAGACAGGGTTTCTCTATGGCTTTGGAGCCTGTCCTGGAACTAGCTCTGTAGACCAGGCTGGTCTCGAACTCACAGAGATCCGCCTACCTCTGCCTCCCGAGTGCTGGGATTAAAGGCGTGCGCCACCATCGCCCGGCTTTCAATTATATTTTAAGGAAAGACCTAGAGGTTAAAATTGTTCCTTGTAGCATGATTAATTGGAAATAGTCCAGTGTGATTTCCATGGAAACATTTTTCTTTTTAAAAACTTAAAATACCCTTCTGAACCAGAATGTTTAGAAAAATCACCACTACCTCCTAAAATAGCTCTAAAAGGGCCTCTGGCTGCTTTGAGTGGCTACAGATAAAGTCACTCTGCACACTCAGTGAGGACACACAGATCACAACCCAAGTGGGACACAAGGGGCAAGTAAAGGTTCAGTGGTGACAGAAGAACAACTCTGAGACTTCAGGTTTGAGTCAAACAAGCTCCTCTTATATACTGCTGCCTATGATCACTTTCTGATTTAATTTTAAAATCTCCCCAGCACTCAGAAGGCAGAGGCAGGTGGATCTCTGAGTTTGTGGCCAGCTTGGTCTACGTAGTAAGTTCCAGGACAGCGAAAGCTACATAGAGAAATTCCATCTTGAAAAACAAAAACAAAAGCAGAGAGAGAAAGAAAAAAAACTAAGAAAGAAATCTCCCTTGTACTAATTCCTCATCTTCCAGGTGAGTTCTAACGTTCAACTTCTGGTTTCTAAATAAACAATCTGCAAATATATAAACAAACTTAGTCTGCTATCAATTTCCTAAGTGTTTATTGAATCCTGAATGTTTTAGTGTTACATCCATAAACTTGGATGCATACGTGGAGAGAAGATAAGAGTATAGGCCAACATAAGTCTTTCTCTAGAGAATTAAGACAATGCTTTTTAGGTAAGGAAATAAAACTAATATATGTAGATAGCACTACACTGCAAAAATAAGTGCTATTTGAGGTACAGAATAAAATTACTATAAAAAAATAAGTACACATTAATTACTAGGGCTGTTAGGAAAGATTTCAAGCAGGACTTGAGATAAGCCCTGGAAATGGTTTTGGAACTGTCGAGAGAGGAGAAATTTTAACAGCTAAGAGAATAATGCTGGTGAAGGCATAAAGGCAGGGAATGGTCATCACACATGGATAGGAGAAAATATGTTTAGGTGAAAATATCATCACTTTGTGCATATAACTTGCATATAAAATTGGGTAAGTACCATGGGGATAGGTTATGGAAAGTTTGAAAAGCCAGGTCTAAGTGAACCTTAAAGGGAAAACATAATGAGAGATTGTGAGCATAAGAACAGAATATAAAGACTAGCTATGTAAAAGGTGGAGAAGAATGAGAGCATTGAGGCCGGTGAGGCAGCATCAGAGGAGACAAACACAATGGGAGGAGGGGCAATAAGAAGACTACATGGTTTGTGTGCTGCCCAAATCTCCGTGCGTGAAATGCTGGCTCCCAGGACCTGTAAGAGCTAGAACCCAATGGAAATTTTAGTTATTAGGAGCATTTCCTTGAAGGGAACTGTGGGCTTTTGCTCTCTTTCTCTTTGGTGTCCTAACCAGGAGAGTAGCATTTTCTTCAATACACTCATCACTGTGATGTGCCAACTGTCCATAGACAGAAGCCTCCAAAACTGAGCCAAAATAATCTGCCATTTCTCTGTCTCTTGTTTTCTTTCTCTCTCTCTCCTTATTGAGATAGTCTGATATAGCTCAGAATAGTCTTTAACTTGCTATGTAGCTGAGTATGGTCTTGAACTTTAGCTTTTCTTGCCTCTACTTCCCAAGTGCTAAGATTACAGGAATGCACCATCACACCCTGCTCAAACTTTTTCTACTTACAAGTTGATTTTTTCTCAAGTTTTATTCAGTGATAGAACGCTGGCTGATAAATGGAAGGACTAGAACAGAGAAGATTTGGAGAAAAAAATAAAACAACTTAAGACTGAGAACACTGGTACCAGTGCGTAACAGGGAGGAGGGTGCTTTAGGAGACATGTTCGGTCGCTGCAGTGAAGACCTGAGTTACAGCCCACTCAAGGGTCCAATGAGAGCTTGGGATACATACGGCATACCATACTGTCTTAACAGGGGACACAATCATTTGCTAACACAGGAAAGTTAAAGTCCCATGCATTGGTTTGAGCACTCCAGAACTAAATGCAGAGTAAAAAACATTTTCTCTGTCAAACACAGTGCCTTACATTTATAATCCCAGCTTCCAGGAAATAAATGAAAGCCAATTTTTATTTTTTTTTTGTTTTTTTTTTTTATTTTTTTTATTTTTTATTTATTTATTTATTTTTTGTTTTTTTTTTTTTGAGACAGGGTTTCTCTGTGGCTTTGGAGCCTGTCCTGGAACTAGCTCTGTAGACCAGGCTGGTCTCGAACTCACAGAGATCCACCTGCCTCTGCCTCCTGAGTGCTGGGATTAAAGGCGTGTGCCACTATCGCCTGGCCCACCTTGTTTTTTGAGATAAGTTTCTCTCAATGGCCTGGAGCTCACCAAGTGGCTTAAATTAGATGGCCAATGAGTACCAGGGCTACCTACCTATCTCTGCCTCCCCAGAGCTCACTGTCCCTGCCAGGGTTCTCTAAGGAAAACACACTGAATATATTAGTTTGGTTTGGATGATATGGTCTAGGTAGTCCAACATAGACTGTCTCACACTGGAGGAGAGCTTGATTATCTTTTAATCTTTCACCTTTTTTAAGATTTTTTTTCCCAGACAGGGTTTCTCTGTGTAGCCTTGGCTGTCCTGGAACTCAGTCTGTAGAGCAGGCTGGCTTTGAACTGACAGAAATCTGCCTGCCTCTGGCTCCTGAGTGCTAGGATTAAAGGGGTATGCCATTATTGCCCAGCGAAAGCCAATTAAAAAAAATGATTTATTTATTTATTATGTATATAGTGTTCTGGCACCAAATCTCATTATAGATTGTGAGCCATCATGTGGTTGCTGGGAACTGAACTCAGGACCCCTGGAAGAGCAGCCAGTGCTCTTAACCTCTGAACCATCTCTCCAGCCCCTGAAAGACAATTTCAAACTCAAGGTATATCTGGGCTACACAGTGAGATCCAGTCTAAAAAGGGGTGGATTGCAAGATGACTCAGTAGTTAAGAGTGCATACTGCTCTTCAAAAAGACACTAGTTTGGTTTCCTATACCCACAGCATGACGTTCACAACCAACTGTAACTCCAGCTTCAGGGGATCTGATTCCTTCTCTTGTACCTGCACTCACATGTACTCCCCGCCCTCATAATATGAAATAGACACAGCAGGGTGTGGTGGGGCAGGCCTTTAATTCCAGCACTCAAGAGGCAGAGTTCCAGGCTAACCTGGTCTACATATTGAATTCCAGGCTAGCCAGAGCAATGAGATCCTGCCTTTAAAAAAAAAGTCATTGATACTGTCCCTGCTCATATCCTTTTCCCAGGGATTACAAATCATAAATCTATAAGCTCCTAGAAAAGTAACTAGCCCACACAGTAGATCAGTGAATATTCAATAGTGCTGAATTAATAAGGAGTAGGAAATGTAGAAGGGCAAATCTTTTTCATCATACGCATTAATAGGAAGATGAGGTTCTGTTTCCTTTTCCATGTCTAAGGTAACACTTTTACAAGTAGTAAGTAAGTAAAATTATAATTTAACTAGTTTATTAATTGATGTAATAACCGTCAATGAAATACACTACTGATTAAAAATATTAAGCTAAATCTTTTTTGCATAGGTTAAATTAGAAGCTCTTATAGTATCAAAAGAAAAAACCCACTCTGCTTTGCACATCTATCTAGCTGCAAGCTGCATAAAGGAACTACTGCAGGCTTGGAAACAAGCACTAAGAATGCGCCCTGTGTACGGTACAGACAATATCTGCAGCTGGTGAGAGGTTCCAGATTACCCAAATTGGTTTAGGAAAGTCAGAGGGACTTAATGTCTTATTTGTGTTTTGGAAATGTGCCCTCAATGGTGTCTGAGTTCACAAGAGAAGTTGATTTCTGAACTGATAATCCCCATTGGAGGAGAAGTGGCCAGGCTAAAGCGACTTTTTGCCTTCTTTTGTTCAGCTCTTCCACTGTGGATAAGGAGAAATGTCAGTGGTGTCTGTCTGTAGCTCTTCCAAAATCCTGATAAATGAAAGGCAAGGAAAGAATAGACTAAAAAAAGTGAAGATAAAATCTCAAATGAACTACTCACGCAAGCCACAGAACACAAGTGTACTATTAAAAATAGAAGGAAGGAGCAGCAGGAACCAGGGCACTGTTAGTGCCACCTATTCTTGATTAAATGCAGATCACAAAAGGGGTCTTGATGGGAGAAAGGGAGTGCAGCTCCTAGGACATTTGGATCCTGGAATTAATCTTAACTGTCTGCTGACAGCAAAGCGTGTGACTTTTGGGCAGCAAATACCTGCAATGATGACGGAGTCCGTCCGGGCCGGGCCAAATTTCAGTGTCATCTCATGCTTGTGCTTATGGACTGCCAGGTGGTCCTCGTTTGTAAATCTCTGGAGTGAAACAGAAATGGAGAAGTGAGGGCTGGAGAGATAGCTCAGTGGTTAAGAGCATTGCCTGCTCTTCCAAAGGTCCTGAGTTCAATTCCCGGCAACCACATGGTGGCTCACAACCATCTGTAATGAGGTCTGGTGCCCTCTTCTGGCCTGCAGACATACACACAGACAGAATATTGTATGTATAATAAATAAATAAATATTTTAAAAAAAAGAAATGGAGGGGGAAAACAGCAACAACAAAACCAAACCAACCCCTCCGCCATTCAGTGCTCTTTTAAATGGGTAACGTGTTACAATAACACTGGTCCCTGGAAAAAGGGAATGGAAAAAGAACAGAAAGAGGAAAAATGATGGAAATGATAGAGGAGATGAAAGCAGGGAGGAGAGGAGAGAGAGACTACAGCACCAACTACTTTGTATCGTCAGGCACAAACAAGGCGAGTGGACAGACTGTTGCTGGGGTATTGTCTAAGCATGAAAAAAACATTAAGGTAAACTTGTAAACAAGAGCAAAACGGTTTTTAATAATAACAATAAAGAGAGAAGAAAAGACTGGGAACTCAGTGGTCATCACAAAAACAGGAAATTTCAGAACGAAGCTCTCTGTGGTGGGGCTGAACTAGAGAATTTTATGAGGGACTAACAGGGAGATAAATTATGCAGGATTAGGAGAATCATTTAACTTCCTGGCCCCCACAGCGCTGCAGCAGGCACCTTTGCAGCTATTTGGCTCATGGTTTTAATGAGCCAGGAAGGAACTGTAGACGACAGAGGCCCAATGGCCAGCAATAATGGCACACACCAGCCCCACTGGCCAAATGTTGTCTTCCTTCATCAGGCAGTCTGCCTGTGCTCCAGCAGCCATAAAGGGGCCAGTACAATGCTTCTGGCTGTAGAAAGACAAACTAAAAGTGCAAACAAAAAAGAAAAAAAATTAAGGGTAGAGAGGAGCCTGTAGGTAGGATGAGAGAAAAGGAGATGTTACAGATATTTGGGTAGAGGTTTCAGTGGAAGAACAGTGAAGAGGTAAGGCAGTCTACCCCAGTTTATGACTAACGCAAAGTTATTGGACAATAATTTACATTGCTATTCTTTTAAAAGGAGGAGGTGAAAGGAACAGATGAACAGCAGTAATTCAAAGGACCTTTGCAGTCATTGACCTGTTCTTTCATTAGAACATCCATGCCGCAGCAATGGCCTGGACATTGCAGGTTTCCAAACATGATTCTAACTTGTCTTGTATCTAAAAATAGTGACTGTTTACTCTTGTTTTTACTCTTTTCATTAGATATGTAACTTACCACTCAATAGCACACCTATATCCCTCTTCCCACAGCCCTTTACAAAGCAAACACATAGCTCCTGTATGGTCCTGTATGGTCCCGTATGGTCAGCTAACAACATCAAACTCATCTTGTCTCCCTCATTTTACCCAAATTTTAAAGCCTTTTAAAATTTTATTTTATGAAAAAAGAAGAAGAAGAAGAAGAAGAAGAAGAAGAAGAAGAAGGCGGCGGCGGCGGCTAGCTGGGCAGTGGTGGCATACTCCTTTAATTCCAGTACTTAGGAGGCAGAGGCAGGTGAATCTCTGGGGCCAGTCTGGTCTATAAGAGAGTTCCAGGACAGTCAGAGCTGATACACAGAGAAACCCTGTCTTGAAAAACCAAACCAAACAAATAAACAAGTAAATAAATAAAATTATTTTATGCGTTTTTTCCCCATACAGGTCTGTATATCATGTGTATGCCTGGTGTCCAGAGGTCAGAAGAGGGTGAAGAGGGCATGGAGGGTGTCAGACCTTCTGAAACTGGAGTTACAGACATGTGAACTGCCATGGGAGTGGTGAGAATTAATCTAGGGTCCTCTGGGAAAATAGCCAGTGCTCTTAATTGCTGAGCCTGCCTCTACCCAGTTTATACCTAAATCCATCAGTAACAACTAAGATCCTTTCCAGGTAAAGCAAACAGGCCTGAGGAGCAAGGGTCAAGCAAAAGAGATCTAGGACAAAATGGACACAGAAAGTTCCCTAAAGAAGCTTTTTCAATTAGAGATTTGCCCCTAAGGGATAGGGTAGGAGAGAAATAGTCTGTTAACTGGGTTAAAAAAGTCACTGTAAGGATCTGGACCTGTCATGTATTTGAAAAAGGAAATCAGTTGAACCTAGTTGGCAATGGAGAAAATAGCATTCTTTTATGGTGGTTATAAAGAATAACATTAAATAGGCTTGTAGGTACTAGGAATATTATACTATAGCAATCACTTAAAAAGTATTTTATAAGCTGGGTGTGGTGGTGCACAACTTTAATCACAGCACTCAGGAGGCAACAAAGGCACACATCCCTGTGAGATAGTGGCCAGTCTAGTCTACATACAAGTTCCAGGCCAACCAGGGATACATAGTGAGACCCTGTCTTTAAAAAAAAAGAAAGTATTTCTAGAGGCATTTAAGGAAATTTCATGTGGTTGCTTAAAAAAAAAAAAGCAGTGCTCTAGAACCTGGAAAAGTGACTTTTAATCAAGAAGGCCTCTTCCATTGGAAATCCTCCTTCTCTCCACTCCAAAGAAGTCGAGAAAAAAATTTAAACTTTTTTCAGATTTTGTTTTGGGTTAAGATTTTTCAGTTCTCTCCCTTACTCTCCCGTTTCTCCTACCCCTTTGTGTGTCAGTGTGTGTGTGTTCTGCGTGCATGTGTTTGTGTGTGTTATACTGGAGATGAAACTCAGAGCCTTGTGTAAGCTAGGAAAAGCACTTTACAGTGTTATACAGCCTTCTGTGTATTTTATTTTACGGATTTAAAAACATTGCTTTGGGGCTGGAGAGAAGGCTCAGTGGTTAAGAGTACTGGCTGCTCTCTAAATGTCCAGAGTCAAATTTCCAGCAACCACATGGTGGCTCCCAGTCATCTGTAATGAGATCTGGTGCCCTCTTCTGGCCTGCAGGACACTGTATACATAATAAATAAATAAGCCTTTGAAAACAAAACAAAACATTACTCTGAACTCAGGGTGGTGGTGTTCTCTGTTCACATTTAGTGCCAGCATGTCAGAGGCAAAGGCAGATGGGTTGCTATGATTTCAAGGTCAGCCAGGTCTACACAGTGAGACATCATCTTGTAAAAAGCAGAAACAAACACAACATTATTCTGTGTATAGTCTGGATATGAAGTACCCCCAGCAGGCTCATGAATGAAGTAAAGGGAGAGGCTCTGACTAATCAGTAAATTAATCCACTGATGGATTTGTAGTTCGATGGCATTTCTGGGAGTGACTGAAACTTTCTACAGTAACACCTCATTGGAGAAAGGATGCATGTCACTGGAATCACCTGGTCACATACCTGTCGTCCTGTCTCCCAGCCACAGCCGAGGTAAGCGGCTCTACTCTATGGTGCCCTTCACTATGTCTTCTCTGCCATGATGCTCTACCTGACTGCAAACCCACAGTGCTGGGATCAACTGACCAAGGACTGCAACACTGTAAGCCAAAACAGACCCCACTGCTCTGATGAGAACACTTAACTTACACACTCTGAGTTTCACCAAACAAAACAAAACAGAACAAAACCTTGTGACCTAATAGTACACTTCAGGAAGAAGAGTCTACTGGGTTAATTTTAAGGAGCAGGACACTAGCATAGTCTTGACTCTGATTACCTACCCACCTTCTGCTGTTTCTAATACAGCTCTTGTCAGTTATGGAAAAGGTGGGGGCAGCAGCTAACTGAAGCTTCTTGAAAGTGAGTGTCAATCTGGCTATTGTTTTATTTATTTTGTTTTTGGTGTTTTTTTTTTTTTGAGACAGGTTCTCATTGGGTACTTCTGGCTGCCCTGGAACTTGTGATGCAACCAGGCTGGCCTCCATCTCATGGTGAGCCGGCCGATTTTGCCTCCCCAGTGCTGGGATTAAAGGCGTGTGCCACCACTGTCTAGCCTGGATATTTTTTAAAATATTCCTTAGCTGAGAACAGTGGTGCATGCGTTTAATCATGGCACCCGGGAATCAAAGGAGGCCAGACCTCTGTCCACAGCCAGCCTGGTCTATTTCTCGAGTCCCAGGCCAGCTAGGGCTGCACAGTGAGGCTCTGTCTCCACCACCATCATTCTTTTATTTTTTCTCATTTCTAATTACTTAATTTTTATGCATGTGGGCACTTTGCCTGGATGTATGTCTGTGCACCATCTGCATGGGTGATGCCTGTAGAGGCCAGAAAATGGCATTCTGTGCCCTGGGACTGAAATTACAGATGGTTGTAAACTGCCATGTGAGTGCTGGGAACTGAACCTGAGTCCTCTGCAAGAGCAGCCAATGCTCTTCACCACTGAGCCATCTCTCCAGCCCTCTCACTTTTCCAAAAAGTTTAAAATGTTTTCATTTTATTTTATGTGTATGAATGTTTGATTGCATGTGTATCATGTGTGTCGCTCTGGATCCCCGGGAGCTGGAGTTTACAGATGGCAGTGAACTATCCTGTGGGTGATGGAATGGACATCCTCTGCAAGAGCAGCCAGAGTTCTTAACCACGAGACTTCTCTGCAGCTCCATTTCCTTTTAATTATTACAAGTTAATACTTCAACAGTTCCTTAGACCACAGGCTAGAGGATATAGCTTTGTGGTAGAGCATCTGCCTAGCATGCATGAGTCCTTGGGTTTTCTCCACTACTGAAAAAAAAAATTCTAGATCAGTCTGTCAACCAAAGCCCACCCTTGTCCCAGGGATTGAATTAGGAACTTCATACTTAGGGAATAATCTTTTTGAAAGCAATTTCTTAAATAGAATAGTAAAAATTATTGAGTGACTAAAAAAAACCCCAGAGATTAATGAAAATGCTGATTATTTCACTGAATTTAAAACAAGTTGAGGGGTTCCCCAAAAGATTTTCTTTTAAAATTATTTAAAAATCTACTCCTTGAGCACATGCCTTTAATCCCAAGCACTTGGGAGGCAGAGGCAGGCAGATCTCTGTGAGTTGGAGGCCAGCCTGGTCTATAAAGCG